CATCAGGACCAGCAACTCCCCGTCTGTCTGTCGCGGGGAGATAGACTCATCCGCCAGCGTGTCCCACAGGACCCTTGGGATACGGTCCCAAAGACGAGTGTAAGGCGGGCGCAACAGAAACTGTGTAGAGACCCTAGCCATGCTGAAAACAAGGGTTCGAGCCTCCTATCGAACGGCCGGGACCCAACCGCGGCAAACTGCAAACACGACCAACCCTTCCGGATGCCGAGTGCGAGTGGGGCAGGCCGGCGACATGCAGCCCAACAAGACCTAAGAGTCCCCCCCGGAAATCCCCAAAAGAACCACGGAGGGGGGAAGACCCACCCGACGAAAACCCCCAAGGGGACCTCAGGGAGCCCAGCGTCAGCCGCCGCCGCTTTCTTCAAACAGTGGCCGATACGGCCCGTCCTTGGGGCAGCCAAATTGCGCAGCCTCCGGTTCGAGGCAAACCGGCAGTCGTGGCGTGTTGAACAGGGGGGAAACCAAGGTGAATGATGAACCCAAAACAAGGGAAACACCCCAACACCTCCCCCCACCCAAGACGGGGCCAGAGGCACCCAAGTCCCGGTGGGGAGAGATCATACGACTCCACATCCAAAAGGGTAGTGAGACACGACCTAGCGGCTCTCACCCTTCAAGATCGCCTCCTTTGCCACTGAGTGGATGGCCGCCAGCCCTGACTTCTCCGGGTTGCTCAGGATGACCGACCACAGGGCAGTGGAGACATCCCCCAGGCCATTCGAGGAGCTGAAGCGCATGCGCGGGGTGCTCGCATCTCCAAGGACTAGCCGCTCGTCCCTGGGGGGCTCCGTCGGCTCAACCCGCTTGTAGAACTCCATCCTGTCCCGGATCCACTGATTATATAGTTGCTCCGGGGGCTCGTCCATCACCAGCTGCAGGCACGTGGCCTTGTCCTTGTGCCATCCCGTAATCTGGAGCAGCCTGGTCCCCCCACGGCTCGCCTTCCAGAAGCCCTTGCAGAACCTGCACATGTAGCCCCCGGTGGTCTTGAACTTCTCCTTGCCCACCACTTCCCATGCGCTGATGCTGGGCAGGACCAGGCCGCACTCCACCGAGGCCCAGAACACGTGCGGGAAGTGCTTGTTGATGTACTTCCGGCCCGCGACCGCCGTGACCGTGGACGTGGTGATCGGGGGGTACCGCCTGGTGCCCTGGTCCGGCGTGCGGAGCGTGGTGTCCGCTCCCGCCAGAATCTTGGCCTTGGGGTCCGATTCCTTGGCCGCCCCGCCCCCGGGGCCAGAGGCACCCAAGGGGGGGGAGCAGCCCAGCTGCCTGATCAGGTCCTGGGAGTAGCCCAGCCGGTCGTACAGGGCCCCCGCCGCCTCCTGCGGGACCGGCTCCACCCAGTCATGGACCACGTTGCAACGCCAGTTGACCTTGATCTCCACCATGGAGGACTATTTGGTGTACACCGAGTCGAAAGCCCTCAACGATGACAGCGGAAGTGTGATTCGCTCGTCACAGACCGCCCTGAAACGCAGGGCCTCCTTGCTGTCGTGGACGGGGGCCACTGGGAGCTCCATCACCGGCAATGGGCAATTGACGATGAAGTTCTTGGCTGCCAGAAACGTCCCCATCTCCTTAAAGATGTAGCTCCATTGCTGCGCGGCTTGGGGATTCCCAGGCTCTCCAGGAAGGGGACCGCCTCCTTCCGCATCTGGAGGATGTTCCCCATCCACTTATCCGAAGTCGAGCCCTCCGCATTGCGGCCCCGTCGCTGCGTCTTCACGACCAGCGGGAATGTGGTCCACGCCGAGTAGATGTACTTGAAGGTGAATCGGTGGGCGTACACCCCTGTCAAGCTCGGCAGGTCCCACGTGCGAGTCTGCCTTGTCCAAAACACGCCATCGCCCTTAGCCCAGAAGATCCCCACCACCTGCTCCGGCGCCGGGCGCTCACCCCGGTTCACCTGCGCTCGGATCTCCAAGGCCGAGTAGATGATCGGGTCGATGTGGTCCCGCTCACACGTGAGTGGGTGGGTCCTGCGCTCCAGGGCCAGGAGCTCCTCCGGCGATCCGCGCCCTTGGGGATCTCACCGGAGTGCTTCTTCCAGATCCGCCCAAACATCCGTAGCTCCCCTTGGTGCCTCTTCATCGCCCAGAGGAGCAGGGACAGCTTACCCTCCTCCGAGTCCAGGTCCTGCGGTGGCCTTGACTGGTCCCCCCCGGGCCAGTGGCACCCTTCAAAGGGGCCGGTGTCGCCAGATCGGGCATCTCCTCCAGCAACGCCTCCTGGTTCCACGGGTTCTGTGCCTCTCTGAGCCTCCGGATGTAGGGGACGTACTTCTCCTTGATGTCCCCCACGTTGGGGATGTCTTCGGGGTCATCCAGCTCCAGGGGCAGAACAGCCCCCTCTCCAGAGCCTGCCTGAGATCATCCGGCCATGCCGACACCTCCAAGGGCTGGAGGGTGTGGTTAAGCATCCATGCCTGGTTGGTGTCCTGGGCTCCTGCGCCATCGCATCAGCCAGTGCCTGGCTGGCGTCGACACCCTTACCCTCCAGGTACTGGTCTCGCAGCTTGGCCTTGAATCGCTCCAGGTTGAACCTTCCTGAGGGCCCGGGCTCCCTCGTTGGCCACCTCCTCTGCCGGCAGGGCCTGCATGCCCTCCTGGAGAGGCGCCAGGATTGCCATCTCATTGTCCAGCATCTCATCCGTGACCAACTCCTTGTGCCGCCGTCTGGCCGAGGACTCCTCCGGGGTCGGTTCCCGGTGCTCCCTCAAGGCCTTGTGCAGCTCTTCCTTCTTCCGGATCGCCTGGTCCACCTGGGGGTGGTAGAGCTGGAAGCTCTGAGCCTCTGCCTCCTGCAGGGACCGCTGCACCTTGACCTTGACCTCCTGGCGCTCCCGGACCTTCAACGCCTCGTCGTCCGCCTCCATGGACAGGATCTCCTGCCGGATGTCCACCCGCCTGTTAAGCGGGACCACGTCAGCCATAGTGATCTCCTCTGCCGTGTCCGTTTTCGGAGGAGCTCTCCCCAGGATCGTGCCGTCCACCAGGTTGCGGTCTGCCTGTGCCCGGGTACCACCGGGGCCAGCGGCACCCAGGCTTCCCCCATCCCGCTGCTGGATCCAGGTCGGCTTGCCCTCCACAATGAGCAGGTTGTACGTGACGCCGTCCGCCTCGTAGGTAGCCGAGGGTGCCTGGAAGGGGACAAACTCCTTGCCCGGGCAGACCCAGCATTGATTGGCTGCCTCCGGCCACCCCGTGCCGCATGCCTTACACATGAATTTGTAGTCCGAGTGGCCGGCATCGAGTCTGTGCATCCGCTGGGTGCCAATGCATGCCTTATTCCGCTGGAACTGTGAGGCCCAGACCTCCTCTTGCCGGATCTGGATCTTCATCGGAACATAGGCCTCCAGGATGCGAACCACCAAGTCCTCCGTGAGATTCTTACCGACAAACTTGTGGAACAGGGAGACCGCCTCCTCCACCGTGACGTCCCTCAGCAACGTGGCCGCCGATGCCGGAAGGACCGGGAAGAGGTCTGGGAGGTCCACTAGCTTGAAATAGCCAGGACGGCCATCCACCGGCACCAGGGAGACCGGTTTGTTAACCAGGGCCGTGGTCTTCTGGGAGGCCGCCACGAAGCCCTTCAGCCTCTTCGTTGGTGGAGTAGCCCGCTCCGTGGTGACCGCATCGCCCATCTCCTTGTCCTCGTCCTCGGCGGGGCCAGGGGCACACACGGAGCCGCTCCCAGTGCACTGGAGAGGTCGTTCATCACATCGGTGGCCGATGCCGACGGGGGCGCCTCGGGCTCCTCCAACACCAGGCCAGCCGCCACAGCCGCCTCGCGTGTGCGGACTTCCTGGGCCTCCTGGCTGGCCATCTCCACCTCCTCCGCGGTGAGTGCCTGGTCCTCAATCAACTCGAAGGAAGTTGCCGAAGTTGCCGAGGAGGCCATTGCTGGTTCGGGGTTAGTTCAGAAATGCTTCCCTTCAAATTTTTCACACAAGTTGGGTTCAGAGAACCCAAGAGCAAAGCTTGAGCCAAAATGGCCGGGGCCATTATGGTCAAGCATTTCAAACACAGTTCATGTTTCCACATGCGTTTCAACATTAACAAAATGTATCTGTGTATCTGTGTATCTGTGTATCTATGTATCTATGTATCTATGTATCTATGTATCTATGTATCTATGTATCTATGTATCTATGCATCTATGTATCTATGTATCTATGTATCTATACATCTATACATCTATGTACCTATACATCTATGTATGTATCTATGTATGTATCTATGCCTGTTTCTATGTATGTATGCATGTTTGCATGTATGTATGTATGTTGGTATGTAGGTATGTAGGTAGGTAGGTAGGCAGGCAGGTAGGTAGGTAGGTAGGTGGGTAGATAGGTAGGTGGGTAGATAGGTAGGTAGGTAGGTATGTATGTACGTATGTATGTATGTATGTATGTGTACATGTATGTGTGCATGTATATCTGTATATACATTGTGGGTCTGTCCCAAATGTAATTTCTATAGAAATCAGCAAAGTCTATCTCAGACACACATATATCATATATCGTATACACAGAATGCCTGTGCGGCTGTCTCGAACAGCTACTTTTAACATACGCACACACACTCACACACACAGACCGCTGTGCAATGGGCTTCTGCCCTCCTGCGGAAGTGGTCGGTTCGGACTGCATCACTTGAAAGGGGATTCGAATCCTTGACCACGCAAAGTGGCAACCTAAAACCCACGAATTTCCTGAACCATTGGGCAAGGTTCCTCCAAATCCCAAGTCGGAAATCACAAAAAGACCTGCACAGCTAGTTTGACCCCATCGGTGAGCAAGCAAATTGCGGCCGGCATCGAGCTCAAAACCAAACCTTGGTGTCGACTCAAAATAGGAATCCGCCGGCCTGAAATAACAACTACAAGTTTGTCCGAACTCCTGTTTCCGGGTTGCCTCAAAAAAGGAACCAAAGGAACCCCCGGCACCGCCCTTGGCCGGCCCTTGGCAGCCGCACCGAGGCGGAAGGTGACCACCTCTTCGGCCTTTCGAGCCCCTCCCTCGGGCCCTCTTGTTTGGAATGTGTCGTGTTTTTTCATATATTAAAAAAAAAAAAAAAAAAAAACTCTTATTTTTTTACGGGGACATGAAGCATGGCGTCAGATTTCGTTTGGCTTCCGATGAGAACAACCGCAAAAAGGTACCAAAGAAAGACAACCCCATCTGGCCTTGAATACAACCCGTAAATGGTAGGTTGTAGCCCTGGTTGGAAGGGAATTGTTGCCTTGAATCTTAATGGCACACAGTCAGATCATGGCTGGTGGACATCAATCCCCATAGATCGTGCGCCCCAAATGGCCCACAATTCAGATTCATACCCATCTTGACACAGGACAAAGTCGTCTGCCACAAATGACCCCCCCCCACAGAGTTCACACAACCACCTTACAAGTAGTGAGCTTTGCATAGCAACTAGAGGCTGCTGTCCTTTGCTCCGTGCCCCAAATTGTTGTCTCACGCAAGAAATGTCCTTGTCGATGATGTTCACTGAGCCCACGTGTTGGTTCTGTTTCTAGGGGGACGTGAATGTCAAACAGTGGGGTTGGTTCGCTTTGAAATAACTCGGAAGGCGGGGCTAAAAAAGCACAGCGGGCCAGTCAACTGCATTCGAAACTTAGTTCGTTGATCCCTTTGAAGTCGAGCTTGAAACGAGATACGTGGGTGTGGGATTTTTTTTTTTAAAAAAAAAAAATGGTACCCAAAATGAAAGCCTGGCAAAAGGAAAAATTGACTAAACCCTGCGGTCCCTGACTTAATTTTGACCCATGCCCATGTCATGAATCCCTCTAAGCTGCTTAAAAGTCGTCTTGGTGCGGTTGGGAACCCACCACCCAAAGGAAACAAGCAAATGCCACCGGATCACTGGGGCAAAAGCAGCAACGCAAGTTGCAAACAAAGCATGCAACATAAGGGTGTGCTGCTTGAGTTAGTATCCGTTTTGGGGTTGTTTCAAAAGAGGGCAAAAGAAAGCAAAAAGCTCAAGTTTGAGTTGGTGTCCTTTTGGGGGGGTTGTTTAAGTAAAAACAAATGCAAGAGCCCCTGTTTGGGAAAGCCAAAGAACGTGTTGTGCCTTGACTAAAGCAATGCCAACCAGGCCTACAGGTCCATCTTCCAAACTCAGAGATTCAAGTGGGTTCGTCAGAATAGGGCGACTCCAAAAATGGTTGGTGTCCCATTGGTGTCCCTTTCAACGAACCTTGAATACGGTACCAAAAAAAGGCATGCGCAAGTACTGCCGAAGGAAGTGTTTGAGTCTCAAACTTACTGCTTCGATAGGGAACGAGACTGAACTGTCCTGGTGCCCCAAAGCCCCATGCGCCCTGCGGAGAACCAGCAAGCAAGGGGTGTCTACCTCGAAAGGGAATGGGCTTCGGCATCTCAAGGCTTTGAGAGGGTCCTGCGAATGTGGATTCAAGGGTCTTCCGATAAGGATGAGGTCGAAGCCGATTTTGAGCCTCACATGGCGCGGTTCCAAATATCGATGTACCTGGCCTGCAGGGACGCGGGGCTTGCCCCATCCTCAGGCAAGCCGCGGGAGTCGGGAGTGTGGGCTGGCTCGCTCAAAACCCGATCCAGTGGATCCCGAAAGGTCTGGACTGGTTCACTGCCATGGGCCCAAACCCAAAAGGTTCAGAGGTCCAACTACTCTGCAGCTAGGGATCCATTTGTAGGGGACCTCAGGGAACCACAAGGGCTCCTGCAGGAATGTGGGAGTAACTAAGCATCCTGAACCCAGCTAAATCTCAATGTTTCCAGGAAACCCTCACCCCAGAGGGAAACGTGCGTTTGAAACAGGACGATGGTTGAAATGGATGGAAAGGCGAGAGCAGGCACGCAAGCAATGGCCCGCATTTCCACCACAAAAAGGCGCCGCACATTTGAGCGCCCAAAACCGAAGCTGAGTGTTCTTTCTACCAACATGGTTGTAAAGGCTTTTCAGAGGACTCACTACAACCCCAACAAAGCCAAGAACCACCTTGTAAAATGGCCAACAATGCCGCGCTGCTCAAACGGCTTTGCCTCGGAATTGGGGAGACCCCAAAAAATAGCCTTTGGGATTCCCTGAGGTTTCCCATGTTTCCCTTTAGACCGCACCAAAAAGAAGCCGCCAACTAGGCGAAGAGCCAAAGCTATGCGAGATGAGTGGCTGATCTCCCTTTCTCTTTAGTCTACGGCTATTCCCTCTCAGGGAAACAAGAATATCGAAACCAGCCAGGGGCAACCCATCGGCGCTAGGGTTTCCTAGTGTCCCTTTGCTCACATCACCACATCATGGGAGTAACCGTCCTTCGGAAAAATAAGCCCCGATCTGGGGTTCCATGCTATCTCGCGGGACCCCAAAAGGCAAACCCGAAAATGAAAAAGGTCGGCCAGGATGTGGGCAACTCACTCAGCTCAGTTACCTCCCTTCCACTAACATAGCATGGGAGGATACCTGGAAGTTTTCTCTTGAATGGACCCTGTGTCAGGTGGGAGTGAAGGCAAACAAAAGGGGATCCCCACTCGGCTATGTCGATAGGGGTGGCTGGACCTCAGCACCGGGCCGCGCCCTCGGCTTCTCCTGGCACCGGTAAGGCGGGCGAAGCCCACCAAAAACCCAACCCCAGCCCCCAACGGTAAGGCGGGTCTGGGTTTAAGAAGAGGTTCCACCAATTTCATTGACAAGCTGCCAAACCCTGACAGGTGGTTGGTTAAGGTTGGCAGCTCAGAAAGCTTCTCTTCTCTTCGCCCCAATGGGAGACGGGCCCCTTGCGATTGGGGGACCTGTCAGCTCGTGATTCCAACCGCTTGAGCTTATGACTTGCAGCTGCCCAGACGCTCACAGGTCAAAGTAGGACGCCCGCCCCTTTTCAGGGTTGGGTGGGTACATGCGTGCCAACAGCAATCTCTCATCCGTGCAAACCCCGTGGGAAACTAGTGCGGTGGCCATGAAGGGTTCGGCCAACCGATTCGGCCGACCGAATGTGGACATTACGCATCCACCTATGTTTGGGGGGCTATCATGAAAAGCAACCATCCTCTGGACTGAGTGTTACACCTGCACTTGAACCTGTGTGCACGAATCGGCCAGCGTCTTGTCTAATTCCTAGAATAAGGAACCCCCATTCTTGGATTCAAGGGGAAGCCAGGAGACGAACCATCCTCGGGCTCCCCTCAAGCAGCGAATTTTCGGGTATGCGTCTTGTACTGGGGTCCGACCATTGAGTCGATGTTTCAATGAAACATACGCCAGTTGAGATGTTCAACTTGGAGCCCCCGGAAGCCCAAGTCGGATCGACCGGAAGCCGGGAAGCTTGTGACCCCGGCTTGCTCGGCACTGGGGGGTCGTTTTCGAGTTTTGGGGAGGTGTTTTTTATAGGATATCCCCAAAGACGGAATCTCTTCTGTTTTCAAAGAAACCAACAGGAGATTACCCAGAAAGGGGGCGTCACACACACACACACACACCAAGTTGAGCGCCGTTCACAACAAAAAAGCCACTGGACACATTCCCCAATGTGCCAAACCTCCAGCGCATTCCGACCCATCCGACGCCTGTGAAGATCTGATTCCGATGCATGAAGAGGTCCTGCAAACGGGGCCCGGAACCGAAAGGAGAACCGCGGGGCCGCTTGGACCCCGCCGGAACCCCTGGCTCCCAAGCGCGGAAGGCACGGAAGCAAAGAACGCGCTCAGCTGCACATGCCCTCCATCATGGAAGTAGACATGCAGCCTTGTTCAATCGCGGTAGTCTGTTGTTGTCTACCAATGTGGGAGGGAGGCTTAAAAATGCAGCAAAAACCTGGAGTCGTCTGCATGTTGTCCAATAATTCCAAGACCTGGCCATACAAGGCCTACAAGGAAACCCCGTTTGAGAGGAAGCCGGCCCCAGATTCATCAACCTGGCAGAGTGCTAGGGGTGTTCCTAGTGATTCGGATCCCCTGGCGGCTGACCATCAGAATCAAAGGGAAATTCGTCAACTGGGTTCCCAGAGGTCGGGTTTTTGTTGGTTTGTGGGCTTGCCTGGATCTACCGGGGGTTACCGGCTAATCACATTTTAGCTGCTGCTGTTTCCCCAAAAGGTAGGGTTTTGGGGGTCCCGTTTTCGCTCCCGAGCGAATGTTCATTCAAGGGATGCCCCAAAAGAATAGTGGCGAGTCACTCAGCTCAGCAATTCCGCACATGGCGCTAAGTGAAAATCAAAACTAAAAACCACAGGCAATCCATCGATTTTGGAAGTCGGCACTTATGCATTGTTCTTGTCTTGGAAAACTTGCACAAGTATGAATAAGAGGGTGTATCATTTTTTGAGGGCACCCCTTTCTTTTTGGTTTCGAACTTCAAACCCAAGAGGAACCCATTAATTGTTTTGGGGGGGTCCCTAAAAGAAGCAGACCCCCCCCCCCACTCACCCCCCCACTCACCCCCCCACCCACCGACCGCCCGTTTGCCTTCCACTGCGATCTGATCCGATCCGATCGGCCGCAGTCGTTTCGGTCTCCTTGCCCTCCAGCACGGCGGCCGCCTCGTCCAAGGGCTCCACAAAGCCGAAGCCCTTGGCGACGTTGAACCTCGAACGGAGAGGAACTCTGACAGCCCACTTTCTTTGGACTGGCTGCTCCCCATCCTTTTTTTCCCTCCCTTCTTGTTTTTTTCTCCGACCTGCTCCAAAACCCAGGATGTGTTCCTTTCAAAGACCCAACCGTCCTTCCGGGTCCGGCGTGGGGGAGGGCACTAAGTCTACAAGGCCTGCCTCGCTTCCCGAGGATTGGTCAGGAGACAAGGCCTACCCTTTAAAATGATATCTCCCCCTGCTCCCCGCGCAAAAATGGGGCTGGTTGAAAGTGAGCTGCCTTTTTGAAAGGATGCCTATCTTAAAAACCTCATGCAAATTTATCGTGCCAAGCAACCCCCCTTAAATTCACCCTAAGACAACTGCATAGGAGTCCTTCCGCCTCTGTGGGCATTGTCCTTGCTGGCTCCGGCTTCCTGTAAGCAACGCACAACTTCCTGATGGCCATGCGTGGCAGCATCATGGACAGGAGTCCTTCCGCGAAAGTCGGCTCTGTCCTTGTCGGCGCCGGCTTGCAGCAAGCAACTCACGACTTCCAAATGGCCATGCGCGGCAGCATCAAGTATGGGAGTCCTTCTGCCTTTGTCGGCTGTGTCCTTGTCCGCACCGGCTTGCAGCAAGCAACGCACGACTTTCATGGCCAGCCGCGGCAGCAAGAAGCATGGGGAGTCCTTTCCTCAAAAGTCGGCGTTGTCCTTGTCGGCGCCGGCTAAAAGCAAGCAACGCGCAACTACCCGATGGCCCTGCGCGAGAGCATCGTGCAGAGGAGTCCTTCCGCGTCTGCAGGCTTTGTCCTTGTCAGCTCCACCTTGCAGCAAGCAACGCACAACTTCCACCTGGGCACGTGCGGAAGCATGATGTGTGGGAGTCTTTCCGTCTATGTCAGCTTTGTCCTTTTCGGCTCCGGCTTGCAACAAACAACGCCCGACTTCAGCCTTGCCACTCATGGCAGCAGCATGGAGAGGAGTCCTTCCGCGAGAGTCGGCTGTATCCTTATCGGCGCCGGCTTGCAGCAAGCCACGAACAACATCCTGGTGGCCATGCGTGGCAGCATCAGGGAGAGGAGTCCTTCCGCGAAAGTCGGCTTTGTCCTTGTCGGCGCCGGCTTGCAGCAAGCAACACACAACTTCCAGGTGGCCATGCGTGGCAGCATCATGGAGAGGAGTCCTTCCGCCTGTGTCGGTTTTGTCCTTGTCGGCGTCGGCTTGCAGCAAGCAACGCACAACATCCAGATGGCCATTCTCAGCTGCAGCCTGCAGCGGTGTTACCCTGCGTAGATGGGCATCGTCTGAGTCCTCTGAGTCATCTGAGCCATCTGAGTCACCTGGGTCATCCGAGTCAACTTCTTCCGAGTCGTCTGAGGAAACTCCTTTGGCGCTTGGGTCCAGGGGCCTTTCGAGGAGGTTCACAACTTCTGCAAGATACCCGTCCCTTGCCAGCTTCACCAATGCTATCCTGCCATCTGGATCTGTCACATAGGGCCGAATCACAACCACCAGCTCCGCATCGATCCAATGGCTGTCTACCGAAAGCATCGCATCCTCGCAAACCAGAGCAAGCCGCCTGAAATTCTCCACCTGCAGCTGCCTGGCCAAATCTTTTGTAAGTAATGAAGGGAACCAAGAACCAAATGGCAAACGGCCGGTCTGTACGGGTAGCTGGCATGTACCTGAGATGCTTTGCGGCATCGGCCGCTCCCGCGCGCGGCACGAGGTTCATGGGAGGTCGAATCAAAGAGCACCACCCCCCCCCCAAAAAAAAAAAAAAAACAAAAAACAAAAAACGGTGAAGTGGTATCAAAATGTCCGCTGTGGGAAGCCGAAGCCCCTCTCTGGCTTGAAAGCTGGAAATTCCAATGGACACTTTTGGTGGGAAGCCACTCTGGTGGTTTGAAAAGGGAAGCCGCAAGGAATGGCTTCCTTCAAGTAGCTTCTTTTGCACGGACCTTCTTTGCGTCGCTGTTTTCCATCAGGAAGCTTCGAGGAAAACCTCAAACTTTAGGCCCAATCCAGAGCAACGCCTGGGTTCCCAGCCAGCGTACCCTTCCCCGCAGCAGCGGCCCCTCATCCTCCGCCTAAGGGGAGGAGAAACCCTTTAGGTTCCCAAAACCCCGAAGGGGGCAAAGGAGACCCTCGTGGGGATCATCATGAGAATTCTCACCCAAGGTTCCTGGAGGATTCCCTGAGCAAAGGAGACCCTTTCACAAGCGCCCCGCAAAGCTTTCCGTTTTGTTTCTCCCAAAAATCATAAAAAAGAGATGCTAGGGGAAAATGGAGATGCCTTCCAAAGGAGTTGGCGCCCTTTTGAGAGTGTCTTTGCTCGCACCCCTTTTGCAAGTTTGGAGGGACAGCAATGGAAAATCACCATTTTGCGGTCCGATGCAATACACACTATCAGACTTGTCTGCAGAATGTAAAGGGGATCACATCTAAATTGGTGGTTTGGATTGGTTTGGCTTGCGTTCGATTTGAGCCCCTTGCTCTTGCGGAAGGGAAAATCGCCAACCTCCAAACCGCCGGGCCTTTTCGAGGGAAGAGAGGGAAGCTGAACAAACCCCCAAATCAAGTTTGGGATAGGACGTGCCCTGAACTGCAGGCAAGAGGGAGGGCACTTATCAACAATGTTCCCTACCTGCAGATCTTTTGCGCCAACAGAGGACGGGCATAGGCGTCTTTTCACAACGAGCATGCTGATGAGCGATGTTGTTTGGCGCTTTGAAGGCTTTTCCAAATCGTGGGGAGAGGCCATGCAATGGCCCCAGGCTGTGTGTTGGGTGGCATGGAACCCCACAAGAGGTCGGTTCGTAGGTTCCATATGAGTCACACTCAAAACCCGGTACTAACATGCCCCCAAAGCCATGCAAAATAAGATGCGCCTGGCACCCATTTGCACCCAGATTTGGATTGTGGCTCATGTAAAGGTGCCGTTGTTTTTGAGGCTAGCCCACTTCTTTTTTCGGGTTCCCTCAAAAAAAAACAAATCCACGGACCCATGTGCCTGTTCAGAGGGGGGTCAGCTCTCAGCGGTCCCCATGCCACCGCTCTTCCTGCCTTCTCCTCGGTGCCGTTGGCACCTGCCTCATACAAGCTGCCATGGCAACCAATGCTCGTACACATGGCTGGAAACTCAAGGTCCCCCCCCCCGGACATGGGACGTAGGGACTATTTTGCAGCCAAGAACCCCAAAAAATAAATTCCCCAGAACAAGGTTGAAAACTAGACTCGTGTCCACATGCCCCCCCCCCACCCCACGCAAGGTTCTCAGAATTGAAGGGTTCCGAGAACCTTTCTGCTCGGGGTGGGGGGGGTTCCTATGGTCCCCTTCCAGATGATGAGAGGGGAAGTCAAGGGAATCTCCTCGCGGGCTCGCACAGTCAGAGACACTGGGTTCGGAATGGGTGCTCTGCACAGATGATTCCGCAAGGAAACACTATCTATTGAAACCCGTTCAACCTTACAAAAGTTTGACCCTTGAGGTCATACCCATTCGGAAACAAGGATGTAATTGGAGCACTTGGTCGTACAAGAGGGCAAAAGGGTTGGCATGGCGCAAATATGTTCCTCTCTGCACCCAGTTGCAACCAGTTGCTCAGTAGAAGTCATCTTTTTGGGTAAGGTCACTTCTGGGGAACCCAGCAACAAAATCGATGCCGGAACCCGCTAAGGACCAGGCCCATGTCCCCCTCTTTTGCCAACCATGCAACAAACACCTGGTTCCTGGCGGATGTATCAGCCTTCTCTTGGGGGTATCTTCTTTCCTTCAAGAAGCCAAGATGCGTGGGAAAAGAGTACTGCCGTGCTTGCCCTGACCCAGAAACCCCATCCGGCGGAAATCCTCGACCGTCGGCACTAGTTGGGAGGACGATGGCATATCTCAGCCCTTTTGGGGGTATGTCCATCCCAACTGGTGCAAAGTGGATGTTTGCTCAACAACAAGGCACCTAAAACTTCCCAAATCTCTGTATGCTGCTTGCCGGAAAAAAAGATGCAGCCCTCACTAACAATGACGAAACCAGAAACTGAAAAACATGCAGTTCGAGCAGTGAAGATCAAGTAGAGGGCAACCATCATGTCCACCCGGGAGCTGAGAAGGACGAGGCCGACATTTATGGCATGGACTCCCATGGCTGGTTGACTCCAAGGGCCATGAAGACGTTGCGCATTGCTTGCAAGAGCGCTGACAAGGCCACGGACTCCCAGGCGAAGTGTGAAGAAGGAAGCGGTCTGTTTTGGAGGGTACCTGGTTTTTTTTGTGGTTTTTGACAGGGGTCAAAGGGAACCACGCCTTGTTTAAGGGTCTCCTAAAACACGACACACCCACTTGGGGGGTCCCGGCCCCCAAATCCCGCGGACACCGACGCTTTGGGCCGCGCTGGCACTGAGGTGTCATCCAGCACCACCCGGATCTGCCCGCTGGGCCTCGTGACAAATGTGGCTGGTCGGCAGTTGCCCGCGAGCTGGTGGCTTTGAGCCCGGTTTGGAAGTAGCGGGGGGCACCTTCACCCGGCACCTGCTCCTTCACCCTCACGAGCCAAGAGCGAGGGACGGCACGACGGCACGGTGAAACAGAACCATGGGAAAAACTGGGCCCCACCCCAAAACAACAAGACCATGAATCCAAAGAGCTTTGCCACACACACACACACACCGTGGGCTGTTCTGCCGCAACCCGGGGGCCCGGGGGGGTTCTCTTCTCAGAGGCGATCGGAGCATGCGAGGCCGAGCCCCCGGCAGGTGGAAGTAGGCCATCTCCGTTTTGTTGTGAAGCCACCTGGGCTCAGCCCCAATGGTCCAAGGATCCAACGTGAAGGGGTCGCTTTGAAAACGGGGGAAACAAAAAAAAAGTGTGTTGAGTCTCAAAGGAAAGCGCAAGGCTGAAATGGAGCCTCAAAGAAAAAGCGCTAAAACCTCAAGCAAGGAACTCTTGTCGTCTGTGACTTGAGCCCAAGCAAACGAAGTTCACCGCAAACTCTGAGGGCTAGATCCTCGGTGTCAAAGTGATGGTGGCTGATGGTTCTCCCTTTGGCTCCTAAAAGGGAGGGGCGGGGGGTTGGCTGACCCTTTGTGTTGCTGTTGGTCTTGTTTATCCTGGTTGTTTGTTGAAAACCTGGTTGTTTGTAAACTGGCTGTTCGATCTCAACTAGAACAGGTGCCAGCACCGAAAGGTCCTGCCTTCAAAGCACCCGCCCAGCCCGGAGCCGGTCCCTTCGCTGAGTTACCACAGAAGCTAACCAGGATTTTTTGCCAGGCTTTAAAGGATGGATTCCCCGGGTTGCCTACGATGCTGAGTGGATCGGGTTCCTCAAAGTCCATCCGAAAAATCTGAGGCGCCCCGCTCCCCGCCGCTGTGGGCCCACCACCCGTCCGGGGCCTCGACATAGCCTCCAAAAAAGGCAAAAAGGCCCGAAGCACGGAGCGGGGCTTGACGGAAAGACACCGGTTTCGTTTAGTTGGTGGGTAAACCTTCTTCAGGTCTTTCAGTTGGAACCCTGCGTTTCGGTCGCACAGACCTCATATGCCCAAGAGAACCTCGGAAGTCCTGCTGGAGTTCATCTTTAGTCGGTGAGATGCGATGAAAGAGCTCAAAAAAACATACAGCTCGTGTTCGTCAACTCCCGCGCTTTTGCCTGCAACCGGCGGCTGTGGTGCTGCTTCCGGATGGCGCTTCTTCCGGCAGAATGCTCCGACGTCGTCCATTCCCCTTCAAACGAGGCATCAATCTGGGCAACCCAAAAAATGGGATGTTTCAGCCGCTCAAAGGCTTTGGCCTTGTCGCTTTCCTTTTGAGGGTCCCCGGAAACCGAAGCCGCCGGGCACCGTTTCAGCCACCCCACTTTTGTCACGCGCCTCCGGCGGAGAAGAGAGGGGGCACCCCGGGATCTGTTCGCTGCCTGTCAGGAACACTCGGAGTGGGCAAAAGCAGGTCCTTTCCACCAAACCCAGTGATCCCCCTCTTGACACCAAGCGGAAAATCACAAAGGCTTGCCGACCAACTTCAGGCTTGCCTGGGACCTGCCGCGAAGAAACCAAGAGCGAGACCCTGAAAGCTTGGACGTTTTCATTCCGCCCAGAACGAGCTGGAGCACTTTACAGGAAGCCGATGGAAAAGCGCCTCTTGCCCTTTCTGAAAGAGGAAAAGCCCGACCGGTAGATTTGTGACAACCCTGGCAAAGGAAAATCGGACACCGTTTCGCAATGGTAGCAACCCGAAAGGGACAAGTCTCTAACCCGACCGGAACCCGCAGAAAGAGCGAGGACGTGCCCAAAAAGCAGCCCAAGCCCGTCGAATATGGTTTGAGCCTTTGGCACTGCCAGTGTCCTTTTGGCGCAAGCAAACCAAAAAAGGCAAGTTTGGAATGTGTGCTTTCTCCGGGATTTTTGGGGGGTGACACCGGTGGCCAGAAAACCGATAAAGTCGTTTCTTGGGCGGACGGAGGTGTAGAGAAGACTAGGGACAGCATGATGGACACAGCTCCATTTTGCAACCACCTTCTTTGGGGCTGCTTGTTTTTGAGAAGTGCACTCAAGGTGCGTTTTTGCAAGCATCTTGTTTGGAATCGACGGTTTTTTTTTCAGTGCATGGCACCTCCCCTTTCGGGTCAGGGAATCCCGAAGACCCAACTCCCTCGCACAGAACGGATCGATGGATCGACGCATCGATCGGCCTCTTGGCTTTGGCCTGGCGCCGGTTCCGCGATTCCGACCGCTGCGAAAATTCGGCGGGCCCCGACACTCCAAAACCGCACCGAAGGAAAGCCTTGAATCTCCAAATAAGTCTTAACCTACATATGTGTGTGTAGCAATATATATATATATGTATATATATATATGTATAATGGTTGTATAAGGTCAAACTATCCTTTTGACCCCAATGGAGTCAACTTATCCCTAAGTTACGAGCAGAATGCTGAGCATCTTGCCAAGATTGGATGACATCTTCCCATTTGATTTCGAGAGGGCAGAGGTGTCTTTTCCAGACCTCTAGCAGAATTCCCCATATTTCCTCCTTAAACATCCACCCCTGCAAGCAGAAACTCGCTTAAAGTGGCCCCACATTGTGATGTGAAAAATCCACAGAAAGGGGAAGTATGGGGAACCTGTCCAATGCAAACCACTTATATAGAACAAAGGTGAGCCAATGTTGAATCTGGTCCTCCCGCTTTAGCAGGGTCGGCATTCACCCACAAGTGGGGCGCCAGCAACATCGCTCCCGAGGAGTCACTTCCGTGGATTGGCCAACGAATGGTCTTCCCGAGTGGGTTGGGCCAAACTGGTGCTCCCAACCAAACACCTTATGGACCAAGAACCGACCAACCATAAAGTCCAAACCGAAAACCACAAACCAAAAACCAAAACCAAGTCCATGATCTGAGGGCCTGAGTCTCCGAGTTTCCCTGCCTCATCCCCCTCCTCTGCCTCGGTCGGATGTCTCGCGAATCCGTGAGGGCGTCGAAACACCCAGTCTCGCCCCCTTAGTCTCCAAAACCACCCCTACAATCAAGAGGTGATTTGTTCTGGCTTTGCTTCCCGTTGACCTACCGCTTAGGGGATGACTTTGAAAATAGCACAAGGTAGGGTCAAAGACCTATTTTCGCGAAAAATCCGCTTCCGGCGCCCCGAAGGTTGGAGTTCACCTCTTGATTGCTCCATTCGCCGCAAGGTCTCGAGGCAAGGAAACGGCCCACCTGTAGTGCCCGGTTTTAGAAAACAGCAAGGGCACCCCGCGGGTTCTTGGGCCCCTGCTTGAAACGGGTCAGAAGGATTCTGAGAACCCTTTGCGGGCAAGGGGTCCACATATCTCTCCTGACATGTGACCACGGCAAGATTATCCCCAAGGACACAGTAAAAAAGCGGCTCGTCCCGGGCGTGTGTGTGTGTGTGTGTGCCTTCTCTCCCATTCAAATAGACTGATAGTTTGACCGAACCTCGTCACACTAATCCAAGAGTGAAACCTCTCATTTTGGGCATGTTACAAATTCTGGCCATGAAATCTCATCCACCCTCAATAAACCTCATGCATCCTCACTCCACGCATCACTCAAAAGCAGTTCATGAGCCGAGTGAAACCCAGAAGCCCAAAACGGGCCCCGCCCCTTTGGGGCCCGCGCTGCCACCATGGCTGGCTTTACATCGGATGGCACGACAGGCTTGGGCTTGGAGTTGGGCTGAAAGTGGTTCTATCTTCGGTTCTTCCTGCTGGGTTCTTGGTTCTCATTGTGTTGCTGAGAGCTCTGGCTTGCTTTCCATATATGTGTTCATATTTCTTGTTCTTGTCTTTGCTTTGCTTTCTTTCTCTTCCTTTCTCTCTCGCTCTCTGTCTCTCTCTCTGTCTCTCTCTCGCGTGCCAAGGTTGGGCTGGATTGGAATCGGAATCGCTTCGGAAGGTACGCCTGGCTACAAAGAGTTCTCCTTGAGATGCGGGCGTCAAGGCAAAGGCAAGTGGAGGGCGCGGGTCCCCACCCTCCTTTTGGAAAAACCGATGCGCCCGCGGGGGAGAAAAAAGAGGACGAGCAGCACCAAAAAAGAGTTAAGCCTTTTGGTCTGGCAATGTTCCTTGCCCCTAGAATTGGCCATTGCCAACTAATCCGCTGCCCCGCAATGACAACTGCCGGAAAGAGTGCATTGCCAGAATCCCAGATCCCCCCGAGCCAAACCTATTGCCCAACCCCCGAACTCAAATAACTCCCACACCCCCGGCAGCCCCCCGGCACCCCCCCTGGCACCCCCCCAGCACCACCCCCCTCCAAACCCAACCCCCCCCCCAACCCCCCAAGCCATCGCAGCGCCTCCGCCAGCTCGGGTCCCACCTCCCGGCGGAAGATGAGGAACTCCCCGGACTCCTCGATCAGTGGATCCCCAGACCAAACCCGCGTCCAGTTACTCACTTGCTGAGTGGAGGGCCCAAAACAAAGCCCAAACTTTTGTATTTACCACGAAATGGTCTTCCCAATTTGTTTAAAGTTCATGGACTCAGGAAGTGAGGTTGCCACTTGTTTTTAAGGAGAAACCATCCATTGGTAAAACCTACACGAGAAAACCTGGTTGCCTACTAGAGTGGTAACCGGAAGCACTGGGTAATAATAGGTAACCCATCGATCCATGTTCCCTTTAGTTGAAGGGTGGTTTCGATTGGTTACCCTTTTCGGGGAAATGAAATCACTGGCATGCACATGGGAACCACAGGTTCCATCTAAACAACAGTGCATGAGGGTATATAAGGACGACGTAAATCTCTTAGGAATACGAGTCTTCCGCACCAAAAAAAAACACTCGGCGTCCCAAAGCAAAGGCTGCGGGTTGTGGCTGCAGAGAAACCATGGAGGACAAAGCAAAACCAACGGTACCATTTTGGATAGGTGCACCACCCATTTTAGTCTATTTTAGTGGGGATTGGGATGTTCACTGGGAGTACGGGGTTTTGACCCATGGCTAAATGACAAATGGAGAGAAGAAGCCCCACCTACCCGCAGCAGATCTATTGGGTGAAAATGGACTTCTGGCTTGCCACCAGGCGGATTCCCGTAGGGAACATAGACCTATCTGCAACCAGCTGCGACTTCAACGACCGTAGGCTATGGTCTTTGGCCTATGGCCTGCCGGTAGGTTCGGGAAGAACACGTCCCACACCTTGACCAGAACCAAACAACTGAAGAAAGCAAAAACATGAAATACAAAGTGCAGAGAGCAGTGAAGAAAAGGATATGTGTGCTTCCGGTGGTGGAGGTTTTAATTAAGGGAAACCCGGCCCAAAAAGAGGATGGCGAAGGAAAAATAAACGAGAACTGTTTGATGTCAACGGTGGTTTCCTTCGGGAGCGGTCTCCCAAATAGACCCCCAACTTCGGCATCCCAATGCGATTCTGTGGTTGATTTGAAAGGGAAGCCATAAGAAGGCCAAACACAGGGCCGACTTAGAAAAAGCCGAATCGGATGCAGCCTGCGGCTTCAAGACTCTCCGGCCGACCAATGCCAAATCGCGAGACCCGGTCGCAGCACCCGGGATTTTTTGGTGATTGGGGGTCGTTCGACATTTCGCAACGCGCGCCTGGCAGGCGCGCAATTAATCTAAGCTCATCCAGGGTCTTGACCTGTGCAATGTTGTGCACAAGTCACCCCGGGGGCCGGGCTTCGGGTTCCCTTTGCCTCGACCTAAAGGCGAGGCAAGTCAACTCGGCCCGCTCTGTAGTCTACATGGCGCAGCGGAGTGCCTGAAAAGCGGAAGCCCGATTAAGTTCGCCAATGGAGGCTACCAACTGAAGAGGGTTCCCCCGGATACAGGGAGAAGGGTGTGTCTTAAAATAGGGCACCCCCAGAAAACTGGTACTTCCTTTCCCCTGTTGTGTTCCTCCAGCTTGAGCCAACAAAAGTTGATATGCCCATAGAACGGGTGCGGAGCTTCCACCCTTCGGGCCGGTCAACGCGGATAGGCGCGCAGAACGCGCGCCGTCACGCGTCCAAGTGCACCAGACCCTCTTCGTTCATGCGCTGCACTGCGGCTCGCCAGTCACACGCGGAGGGCGAATCCTGGCGATTGACGGAAAAGGAAGCATGCTAAGCGTGCCTTCCATGTCCATGCTCGTCAGGGAGTCTCTTCAAAACATTGGGAATCCAAGCCTAATGGAAAAAAAACAGTTTCCGAAGAGAAAGGTGGGTGAAAAAACCAAGAAAAAACCCTTAGAATCATAAGCCCCCCCCCCGCCGACTTGAGTTTCCATGGCTGTCAAAATATGGGCTTCCGCCTTTTGCACGCATATCGCCATGCAGTACGCGCCGCCTATGCCAAAAAGGAGCCCTAACTTGTCCAATCGGCAAGTCGCAGCCTGCTCCCATGCGGCCCGATCGCCGCAAGTTGGTTGAACTTTGGCAGCCTTGGTTGATTGGGAAATCAAAGGAAAGTACATTTACAACACTTGGGCTCGGGTTTTCATCAGGATTGTGTAGAGGATGCATCGAAGAACCAGCTCATGCACAAGGATTTGCATCTACATAAATCAGCTGGTAGTTGGGTCATGGCAAGGAGACCCATGATTTACTCTGATGATTTGATCTTGTAGACTGCCTTGTGGCTACCTCGTGTGGTCTCGAGCACATGCCACTCCCCCTAAACCATAATCCCGCCCACAACCCAAAACCAACCAACCAACCAACCAACCAACCAACCAACCAACCAACCAACCAACCAACCAACCAACCAACCAACCAACCAACCAACCAACCAACCAACCAACCAACCAACCAACCAACCAACCAACCAACCAACCAACCAACCAACCAACCAACCAACCAACCAACCAACCAACCAACCAACCAACCAACCAACCAACCAGCAGCCCAGCCCAGCTTAACCCAACCCTCTTTAACCCTTTGGCCACCTCTTCTCGGAGCCGTCGGGGCAGCACTGGCGCACGGGACCCCAGCGCTCCGGACGTGCCGCCGGCGATGCCGCCGGCGGAGCCGCCGGAGGCGGCGCCGCTCAGCGACATGGGCTCCGCAACCTTGGCGATTGCCCCCTGCGCAGAAGTCAAACTGCTTGCTTGCTTCTTGCTTGCTGGCTGGCTGGCTGCTTGCTGGCTGGCTGGCTGGCTGGCTGGCTGGCTGGCTGGCTGGCTGGCTGGCTGGCTGGCTGGCTGGCTTGGCTGGCTGGCTGGCTGGCTGGCTGCCTGGCTTGCTTGGCTGGCTGGCTGGCTGGCTTGATTGCTGGCATGCGTGCGTGCGTGCTTGCTTGCTTCGTTGCTTTGCTTCGCTGGTCTCTGCGCACGGTCGTGCGCGCCATTAGGGGGTTGGGCTCGATTTTTTAGGGCACCAAAACAAAATAGTCGACTGCATGTTTGTGCGGGCGTGCCGCTCAGGAGCACCTGATGTCCAAAAAGTCGAAGGTTAACTGGAGTCATGAAATTGATTGTTTCCGGGGGGTTATCAAAGTCGGTTACTGGGGTTTCCCTTTCACCACCCACTTAGGGGGTGACTTTCATGGTTGTGAAATAATCCAATAGCAGCCAAGCCACAGGGCGCGGGGTACGGGGACCCTTGGGCGTGGGATCTTGCAGCACCTGCGCGAACCGCCACTCATCGCCAAGCCATCGGGGGTTTTTGCTTGGCGTCCCAATTGGAGACTCCACCCCAACCTGGGTGCTCCTCCAGCTTCTGCCACCAGCCAAAACAACGGGTTCTGGCACATTTGGTGTACAAATCGATTTTCTAGTGTTCTGGCCAAAAAAAACTGCTTCGTTCTTGATCCCCGGAGAAGACATGGGTCGGAAAGCAGCTGTCAATTGGGTCCCCCTTTGAGTAACCCCAGGGAAAATACATGGGAAACCCTGCCGCGCCATGGCCCCACACACCGCCACGCCTTGCGGCGCGCATCCACACTGCTGGCGCGAGAGAGCCCCGTGTCACTAGCCACGGTGGTGGGCGTAGGCATGGTCACCTGCGCAAGCCACGCCAAATGCTTTTTGCAGCGACCGGTCCGGCTCAAATTACCAACTTGGCACTAGATGATGTTGTGGAGTCTTGACCCAAATGAGTCTTGACATGTTGGTTCTACCCTATTGGGAGTATGAATAATCTTTAACAAAGAAAAGGTTCTAGAATGAACTACCAAAATGGCCAATGGGGCTTTTGGGCGCTGCTTTGTTGATTGCCCGGCAGACTTAAACCCAGGAGTTGACTTCCCCAAAGAGGAACCAATCCCTGGGCATCTAAGTCTACCTTGGGATGTGTATGCATAGATATATGTATATATATATGCATATATATATATACACAATATATATATATACAATATATACTATATCAGCACCCACCCACACACGCACACACAATGGTGTCACCTCTCAAAACTCCCCCAGCGCTGTTGCGGTGTCCCCGCCCTTCTATTGGAGGACCATGACAAGACTCGCGGGCCGGTGCTGGGGAACATCGTTGAACCGGCGTCTCCACCCTCAAAGCATGGGGAGTCGTCTTGTTTACGGGTCATAAAAACTCCAGGTAACCCCTAGCTATCAAATGGGTTCAGTGTGGAAGTCAAGGGGTGAGCTGGGGATCACTGAAGGACTAAACTCATTCACATAGTTTGCTTCTGCTTTGAGCTTTACCGACTTCGGTATGGCCCAGTGAAACCTTTCAAAGTCCAACTCATTTTGCAACACACCCATGACAATTTCGATTGGGCAGGTAGTTGCCGGGACGGCAAAATGGCAAGCTGAGCTGCGGCTAGCAGCAAATTATCCTGAATGAACAGATGCACTGCGCCCAAAGGATGCTATGGACACATGGAGATGGACACATGGGAGACGATACAAGCGCAGGCGGCGCGGGTGGTATGCCCACAGCAAGCCCCGGAACCCTAGCCCACAGCTGCTCCGAACCACTCCAAACCACTCCAGGGCCTATCTGGGCCTATCGACCCCAAAGCTTCAGCTGCTGAACTACACCAAAGCGGTTGCGAAAATCAGCTCCAGTGCCTCTTGCTCAGTTCCCCCCTCCCTTGCCCAATCTAAGTCCCCAGAACCCAAGGAGCTGGGCCCCCTGAGCTTCCCCTCTCACCCGAGTGGAATCTCTTTCAACATTGGCCTCGTTGCTGATGTTTAAAAACCCGCCTAAAGGGCCCAGAAAAAAGGAGTCCCCCCAAAACAACGGAGGCTCTTCCATTCTCACCATCCGAACCTGGTAAAGGAGTCTTTCTAAAACCCGGTGACAAATCGTCACTTATTTCTCAGGGTGCCTTGCTACACTTCATCTACCCACCTTTTGAGGACACTCCATCTTTTCGGAATGTAAAGATGTTCAAACACATGGCTAAATGGGGTTGTCTCCAAATCAGGAGACATTCAAAATGGCTTCTAAAAAAAGAAAAAGAATAAAAGAGGAGGAATCAATCAAAAAAAGGAGGAGAAAAAAAAGGAACAAAATGAGAAAAAGAGGAAGAAGAAAAAAAAGACATCCGAAGAAGGTGTACCCAACCCCCCCCCCCGCACCAAAGCGACGCCTTGGCGTTCTGGCGCAGCTTCTCATAGGCGTCCCGCAGCTCCGAAGCCAACCTGAGGCGGCCCCCACCGCTTACCCCGCGCAAGTGGGAAAACCCATAAGACCAATGGAAAACCTATGGAAAACCTATGGAAAACCAAAGGAAAACCCATGGAAACCAATGGAAAATGGAAACCTATGGAAACCAATGGGAAAGGGAAAACCAATGGAAAACCGCTGCGCCCACGTCTTTTGATAAAATCGCCGCACTTTCTAGAAGACACATGCACCCGTTTGTGGACCTACCGCAAACACCGGTGCAAAGAGTATTGGTAGATGATAGCGTTGGCAAACGTCTTCGCCTTGCAATATGGCAAGGGCATCTAATTCTACGTGAACAGCACTAAAAAGGCAAACAACTTAAACGCATACCAAGAAGTGAAGCAACCAAAACACAAAGACCCAGAAAGAAAGAAAGAAAGAAAAAAAGAAAGAAAGAAAGAAAGAAAGAATCAAAAAAAGAACTACCAAGAGCGGTTTTCAGCAACTCCTCTTTGGTTTGTAGCTCCTTCTGCAGGGTCTCCGTGATGAGGTCGATCTGCTGGTAGTACATCTGCAGCTGGTCCTGGCGGCGGATGCGAGACGAAGCCTCGATACCCATATGGCCATGGGTCAAAATCCAAATCGTACCCCCAGTAAACATCCCAATCCAACCACTAAAATAGGAAGCCTAAAATGGGTGGTGAAATCACCTACCAACCAAAATGGTACCATTTTTTTTGACCCACAGCCATATGGGTGCGTATCCCGCACGCGAAATGGGTCCGGACATCCGAAAAAGGATGGGGGATTGTCCAACCACTTGATTCATGGTAACCCGATCCATCACCTCCAAACCGCTTGTGAGAGGGCTGAGTATCTCAATTCATAGCCATATCCATGTCCGGCAAAATTTGCCACAACCCTGACAGTTACGCGTCAGAGGCGCCCCACCAAACAAAGCAAACTGGGGCCCTCTGACTTTTCATGGTACCCCCGTGACCTTCAAACCGTGGTTATTCATTCCTCTGTTTTGACAGGGGTCGACATCATACCCTAAAAGCGAGGGTATTTGGAGTGCTCTGCGTTTCCCAACTGCAACGTTGCTCACCATGTCAGTCAGAGTCTGAAACCCACGGCAACATGTGCAATCAAACCTCCCAACAGGGGACCCCTGAAAGGTGTGTGCGTGTGTGTCCTGTTGTCAACACCATCCAACAGGGAGTCCTCTTTTTTCTGATCCTCCATCTCCTTCGAAATGGAGATACAAAGAGGAACGGCCTTTTGTTGAACCCGTGGCTTCCTCTTGCTCGGCTGGGCTTTGGGGCTTCGGGGCTCCTGCAGCAACGCCCGCTGCTGCTCCAGCTGCTGGATGATGCCGTTCGCCTCCCCCAGCCGATCCTGCGAGCAGCCAGCTAGTGGTGAACGAGGATAAGTCTGAAACTCGATGTTACAAACAAGATGCTGATGGGGAAAGCCAAAGTGAACCAGCGTGACAAGGCCATTCAAGCATCCCAAATGGGATGCTTTTCTACAGACCCTAAATTGAAACCATCCACAAGTCCAGAAACAACCCTCCAGTCCGCAACTCTTCCTTCCGCTCGCGTTCTCCTCCGCGCTTTCCGTTTCGATGGACGTCTCCCCGGCTCCGGCTCCGGACCGATCCGCGCCTCCAGGGTCTCCCGGTGCAGCTCGTGGGAGGCCAGTCGGCCGTGCACTCGGTGCACGTGCCAGGCGTGGAACACCGCGGAGGACAGCGCCTGGCGAGGCGACCGCTTCGAGGCGACCCGACCGCGCGAAGGCGAAGAGGGGGGAGGCGGGGGCGGGGGCTCTTGCGGGTTGTGTCTGTCGGTTGTTGCTTGTTTGCTTCTTGCAGCTTGTGTTTGTTGATGGTTTTTGGCTGTTGTTTTTGTCTGCTTTGATTTTTTGGGGAGAGAGATTGCTTGCACCTTTGTGTTTTTGTTGCTTTTTGAGGCTCGGTCGCCTTTCCAGACGGCTTTCAGGCGAAACCAATGCCATTTTGGGGGGGATTCCGCCACTTCACCCCCATTTGGGCCATGGTTTGTTTTGTTGGGCGCTTCGTTCCTTCGTCTTAATCCGGTGCCAACAAAGGGGAGGTCCACGGAAAGTTGGTTGACTGGAGACTTTGGGGTGAAGTTCCTGGGAGAATTTGAACCAGGGCTTTTGGAGAAGAGAGACATGTTCAAAGGCAGTTCGACCTATCCGCATACCCTTGGTGTCAACACCCATTCACATTCACCTTAGGTGTATAATTTATATAATGGTGGTTGCATTCTTACTGCCATTGTTTCAATGGCGTCTTCCAAAAGCCCACCAGATGGGCGAGTATTCAAAGCTTCCCCTGACGCCTTCGAGTCGTTCCGCATCTTCTGTCCCAGCATGAACCTGAAGTCGCAGCGATTTTTTTTCTGCGCACACTCAAGTCCCCTTCAGTTTGCTGAAAATGAGGGTCAGGCAAGTGCCACCAGCTAAGCAGTCAGCAGAGAAGCAGTCAAGCATCCAGAAGATGAGTAAACACCATATTTTTGTGCCTTGTGGTAAGTTGTGTGTGTGTGTGCTTCGTGTCACTCCCATTACCGCATTAAATGATGGGGAATACTGGCAGATGCTTCTACAATTGTAAATGGATCGCATAGCTTTTCACAGGTCCAAGTCCGCAATCCTTCAGCACGACCACTGCCAAACGCGGTCTCCTTTGGTAACATTGTTTGCACAGCCATGAACAGATATCCTAGGAATGCTTTGGATTCATCAAACCGCCGTTTGATTTGGGTGGGTCTTTTTGAGGCTACCTTTGGTTTGTCCTAAAAGGAAAACCAGGGGAATCTTCTGCCCTCTTGAGTGATCAGCTTGGCAATGGAGGCTGCCGGGCCCTTGCGGTTAATATTTTGGGGTCGCCCCTCTCAAATGGATATGTTGACAAGAAACCTGGGTTTTGAACAGGAAGACAACAAACCTTGGGCTCGAACTAAGCCAAGGCAGGTTGGGGCTTCAAAAAGAGATCTCAAGAGGTGTTTTCTGCCATGTGACTCACTTCCTGAGTGGGGTGGCACTTGTTGTTTGCCAAACATCTTCCCGAAAAGTATCAAGTCCAGAAACACAGGGAGTGAGGTTACCTTACCCCAAGTTGCCAGAATATCCGATACCCCGATCCAAGGTGCTGGGAGTACTGCAGCATCTGCTCATTGTGGTTGAGCTTATGCATCTGCTCGATCCGACTCTGGTCCCACAGATACGCCCAGGCGGCAAAGTACCTCACTTGGCACCCTGGAGAATGAGATGTGGCTGTGGGTCACAACCCTGTACCCCTGGTGAACATCAATAGGTGGTGCATGGGTGTTCATCCGCCCCAAAACGGAGGCGTATGTTGTGACCCTTGGCCATGTCAGTGTGGACATAGTCAGACCTCAGCATACAAATTGTGATCAAAGGAGACCCCGTTTTCAAGTGTTTTAGTCAACCTTGAAGTGTGTTTGTCAAAAAAGACCTCTGGAACCAAGGGACCTCCGGAAGACCAAGAGCCGTCTAGGGTCCCCACTGCAGATTGCATGTCAACTTTTCAGAGAGCCGTCGAACATGGACCCTTTGGTGGACATGTTCAGTCGCTTGTGGAGGGTGGTCCAATCAAAAGCAGCAACGCGAATGCGCGGGAAACGTGGGTGTGGTGATGAACCAAGCATTCGGAGGCTCGGGGCAAAGTATTTGAGTACTCGGAAAAACTAGAAACAAAATGGTGCTTGTGTATAACAGCGTCATTGAGTATTCCTTTCATAATAATCATCATACACAAAATATGTGTTGTGCTTCTGAAAGTGTCATTGGTCGAATATTGGTCGAACCTGTAACAAACAGTTGGTTCCATATATCTGCACAGCCGAAATCCAAGGAGGCTGTCAGAAGAAGGAATTGACAAATGTGACAAGTACACACAGACGTCACCTTGAGGGGGAAGCCGCCGCGCGACAGCACCCTGCAACGGCACCCTGCACAACATGCGAAAAGACAACAAAGGCATCCTCTGCCAAATTTCTTGGTCCCTGCCCTTTCGCAGCGTGCACGAGCAGCCTTCAAACCCTTCAATCAGCACCAGCATCGAACAGCTCTCCACAACAGGCCTGAGCTGGGTTTGCCTTTGCCCCCGTGGAAAATAACGGGGGCCCCCTAGAAGCGTAGAACCGCTCTTCAAGTGGGTCACTTTGTCCCTCCAGATCCTCTGTGAGGGAAACCAAAAGACAGACCTGGGAAGCTCTCAGCACGCAGCGTGCAATACGCGCCACGCTTCTTGAAGTTACGTTTACCACAGCAGCAAAAAGCATCCAAAGATCTAAACACGCAATACAGGTACAACCCCTTTCGCGCTCGAAAGGAAGACGGAAGACCCACGGGGGCAAAAAGTAGACCTGTTGCCGCGTAAAAGGGAACTTGAAGGAGAAATAAAGGGACACAAAAGCAAAACCACGAGTACCCTCATATCGTACCTCCTTAATAACAATGATTACCGCCTTCTAATATCCTCTATGCTTCAGGGTATGATGTGAACCCCCTACTAAAAAGGGAGGTATGTACCATGCAAAAACTGAAATACCAAGAAAACAAGGCGGCTGCTGATTACAAGGCTCTGAGGACCACTTCGGGAGGGACCTTTGGTTTCCTCCTGACAAAGCACAGTTGCTCCTCGCATAGGGAGTACAGCAACCCCCGGACCAAATTGCCCACTGCAGCCAGGTTTTGCTTGGTAAGTACGTTGTAAGGGTGGTTGTTAAGGCGGTAACCCCAGTCATATCAATGGCTATGGCCCACTAACCCAAGTGGCTGTTCTTAAAACAAGGGGACCCTCAAAAATGGCTTTGACGTTCCTCTTGGTTCCAACCTAAGAAACAACCCAAAAGGGTACCTTTGGCCTCAAAGACAGACGAGCCACCCAAGTGGGCCTTATGTGAGGCAGGCGCCTCCTTTTTTGGGGCCCCTTTGGTGGGTTGGGTTTAAGTCTTGAAGGGACAAAGATTTTGGGTTCCTTACACAGCCATATATAAATAACCCCTTAAAGGGGAAACCAAAAGGAACACCACCATTTGGGGGGTTCCTTACAAAAGGACACAGCCATATTTAGGTTCCCCCCAATTGGTGATTTGGATTGGTGGGTTTGGTGAATATACCCTCTACAAGAACCAGGGGTTCAAATCCGGAAACCACCAATCCAAACCACCAACTAAGGGGAACCTGACATATATCACAAACCCCGCCGCGAACTCGTCGTCGCTTGTGCACGCGGAAAAATAACAAAAACGAAAAAACAAAAAACAGAAACACCGAAAAAAGAAGAAGAAGAAGAAGAAGAAGAAAAACGCCGAGGCGCTCGCCCAGCAGCACCCGGGTCCTGCGGCAGCCCATGCCGTCCAGCGCTCGGGCGATGCGCTCGTGCCCTCGGGCTTTTGTGTGAAAATAAGGAGGCAAAAAAAGGAAGAGGAAGCCCAAAAGGGTGGTTTTAGAGAGAAACAAAAGGGTGGCTTTACAAAAAGAGGATGGCTTTAAAAAGACTTGTTGTTCGGTTTTGGTTCTAACAGGAAGGTTTCTTTCTTTCCTAGGAGCCTTTTCAAAATTGCTTTCCCTTGAGGTTCTTTCAGCCAGGCGTTTTGAGTCTCCCTTCCGAGGCGCGGAGCTGCTCGTTGGCCTCCCGCTGCTTCTCCATCTCCTCCAGGGCCACCAGGCGCTCGCGCTCCTCCTCCGCGCGCCGCTTCTCGCCTCGGGGGGGTTCGGTGGGGGGTTTTTGGGGGGGAAAGAGGGCAGGGGCGAGAAAAAGAGGGTCCCCAAAAATAGGAAAAACGTGGTGGTTGTTTTCTTGCCCTGGTTGGTGTGCAAGTTGTTCTTGCTATTTCTTCGTCTTTTCCTTTTCCCGTTTCTTTTGGGGGGTTATGTGTTGGTTTATTCTGTGGAAAATGGACTCTTGGTGGTGCTCCGTTTGGCAAACTCCAAGAAGGCGTGCCAATCTTTTGCAAAGCCTTTGGGTAGGCTTCCACCAGATCGGTCAAGCCACACCGGCCTCAGTGAGCATTCTTGGCTCACCAGCTCCCCAAACCCCTGTCACATGTTCTGCAAGGCTTCCCCCACCCGTCGTCCCTTAACCTCCCCCCCCGAAAAAAAAAAACAAAAACAAAGCCCAGCCCCACCCCCCACCCCCAAAAAGACAGCAACAAACCCCCCCCCCCCCGTCTCTCTTTGACTGCGCAGCCGCCGATGCTCAGCTCGTGCCACATGTGGAGCACCATGCCCTTGAGCGCGGGGCCCTTGCCGGCCAAGGTCTCCGCCGCCCTGGCGCCAGGTCGCGGAAGCGAGAGGAAGCCGGCCAAAAAAACCGGGGAAGAATCATCAGAAAAAGGAACGGCAAGAAGAAAAAAACAAACTGGTGGGAATGGAACGAAAATTGGGCACGGACCTCCCAAACGCGCTCCTGAACAGCGACGGCCCAAAAAAAAGCGAGAAGCACCGCGAGAGACTTGGCGGATTTGTGTTTCCCAAGGAGGAAACTGCTTGGTCCGTGTGCGCGACTGCCCAGCCGAAGCCTGCCCAAGAATCGTTTTGCAGGTCCCCTACATGTCTCAGCGACCAATTCATGTGACCTGGCGAGCGACTTGACCTTGAAATCCGTCGGCGAACCTGCATCTTACCAACCCCATACTGAAGGTATTTGAAGCTTTCGGAGCCCTCTCCTCTTGACGTTGGAGTTTCAAGGGACTCCTTTCCGTCATCGACGAGGATGTTTTCATTTGGATGCCGACTCTTTATCATTGTGGTGTTTGGCCAATTCTCTTTATGTTGTCAATTCTCTGAAAGGGCTGTTTCCTGGAAACCTAACCCACAGAATCTTCCCAGCTGCAAAGGTCCTATACAAGGGACAGAAAGTGCCCAGCAACTCATCAGGACTAGTCTCTAAGCTTATTGCTTGCCTTCCAAAAGGTCAGAGCACAAACTTCCGAAAGAAATGAAAGGGGTTCTGTGTTTTCTATTGTTACATGGTTGTTTCTTACAAGTCTTCATTCCACATCTTTATGGCTGAGCCGTGGCAAGGAACTCATGGATCTTCTAAGTGATTTGCAGATTTGGGAGTGGAATCCAAAGAAACCGATCCGTGTGGATCCAACCAGCAAAGCTGACCAATCGGTCCACAAATCCATGTTTTTTGGACTCGAAATGGGCGCGCGTTTCGGAATCCGCATATGGCAAGGTCGCAGGCCCTGCCATCCGAATTGCTCATGATCCATCGGGATACATCTTGACGGGTCAGGAGACTCCGGGCTTGGACCCAAACGAACTGCGCGAGCCTGAGCATTTGTTGCTCCTTCTTCTGCAGCATGCTGGACATCTGCATCTCCAGCCCCTCAGCTCGCTCGGATTTACAAACCAATCAGCTTCCCCTTGTTTGGTGGGTTGCATTTACCCTCTTCACGAACGGGCTCAAATCCCCAAACCACCATCCAAACGGGGGGGAAATCTGAATCAAGAAAGTGTCAGCATAGCCGGAGAAAGCAAAACACGGGCGCTGCTAAGTAGCTATCGATGTTCACACCAAGTGACATGTCTTCTGCTCAGGGGAGTTCTAGCCAAGTGGACGTCACTCGGGCGCAGGACTCACCAATGCCAGTTGTTCAGCAAAAAAAACATCCTCTAAATCTGCTTTTGTTCGGTAGGTTCGGGCTCCGCTCTAAATTTGTCCTTCCTTGCTTTCTTCCAAATGAGCGGGGCTTCAAAACTCCCAGCAAACTGCTTGGATCCCACGTGCCGCGAAAAAAATGGAAAGTTGGATCTGTGGCTGCATGGACACCTCCAAACCGACTCGTTTTGCGTTCCGTTTTGGGAGAAAATGAAAGAGAACCAATACCTTGCTTCTGCGATCAAAGGTCCCCCAAAACCAGACAGTGCAAAACCAGCCAAAGTGAGAAAGAAAAAAAAGAGAGAGTTGGGCACTCAAGTGCTTGTTCTTCTACATCTCGCGCCTGGATCTTCTTCTGCTGCTCATCCAGCAGGTGCTGATGCTTCGCCTCGAAGCGCACGTAGTTGATCCAGCTCAAAAAGCCTCAGCCGTGCTGCTTAGGCCAGAGAGGCCCCGGGAAAAAGACAGGGGGACCATGCTGCGTAGCATGCCGAGAACAGCACCCCTTCTGATGGGGCAACGATGCACTCCTTTTGGTTTCCGTTCAAAACCAACGTCATAGTTGTGCTTTGGTGCAAGCTGAAACCTAAGACTCCAGCACGATCTCTAAGACAAACGACTGCAGTAAAAGCACTTTCCTGGTGTACGTGCATAGTGCGCAACTGGAAGCCCTGCCAGGAAAGCTTTTCAAAGTGAAGCAACGTGAAACCAACCCATCTGCGTGGTCCCTAGTTTAACAGTCTTCCCAAATCAGAAATCCAACATGACCCGAATCACCTGCGGCAGTCCGCCAAATCTTGTGAATGTGATGTTCAATGTGGCCGAGATGCCCTCGACCAAAACTCCGTGGGACTCCAGAAGAGACACTGGGCCACAGCAACATGATCCTCTAAATCATCCCCCAAATGGTAGTTCAAAAGTCAAACTGCTGAGATTGAACCGGAAGTAAAAAAACAGCAGGAATCGTCAAGGGACCTTCATCTACCACGTGGCGCCCCACTTTCCGCAACCCGGGCAAATTGCACTACACCACAAATTAGCTGGAACCCAGAATGCAGGTCCCCAAAAAGGCGCTTCCTCTAAAAGTGATAGTTTGGGTTCCACGTGAATCTGCAGGAGTCAGGAAATCGGGAGTCCTTTTGGGATCTTCCTGGGTTTTCGCTCGTTCTGCCCCGAGTCGTAACACGCCAAGCTGCAGGAATGCATGGCGCCACGCTGATCGCTCTCGATGAATCCTCGGCATTCAAAAAATGTGGGCCCGGCCCAGCACATCGCGACAGCAGCATCTGGGTGAAAAACAAAGGAACGAAAACGGGTACCCTCAAACAAAGACAGACCCAAGTCACCGCATCAGCATATCATCACATCTTGTCTGCTTCAGTGTCTCCCTTCCAAACCTCCCAAGCACTACCAACCAGCTAACCAGCTACCAACCAGCAACCTTGCTTCTCTCCCTTGCGTGCTGCCCAAACTACGTCCAAACTTTCTGTTTCCGCTATGGCAAGTACAACACGTTTGGAGAGATTGTAAAGATGGCGGTTGGATGAGGGTTGACTTTGCAGGTTCCCTGTGGTTTCCCCTTGCCCGGCTCATCATCGCTGCCAAAGACCAACCAGCTCACAAATCCAATCTGCTCGATGCAAAACTCGGAGGGCTCCCGATCGAGTGCCCAGGCTAGGAAGTTGGTTCCTGAGGGAAAGAGTCCACTGCAAAAGATGCCAAACCTCAAAAGGGCCATACAAGGCCGGAAATAAAATACAAAAAGGGAGTGACACCCTTGTTATTTTCACAACTGGAAGTAAGCCATCCCCTGAAAAAACCAGGGACCCCCCCCCCCCCCAAACCTCGGGAGAGCATCTCGGCCCCCGCCCCCCCCCCCCCTCGCCTCCCTTCGCGTCCCGTCCAAGGTGCTGAGCACCGAGTCCTTGACGCTTTGCCGCTGCGCGTCCGCCTGCAGCTTGTTCTGGACGTACTCCTTCCAATCCTCGCGCCCCCAGACGCCCCCAGGCCCCAGACGCACCCGAAGAAAACAAAAAACAAAACCAGACGAGGTAGAAACGGGGCCGGTTTGGAAGCCGCGCGAAAAAAGTGCAGAAGACGAAAAAAGCCGCGGTGAAACCGAGGGTTTCAAAACATGGGTGTCCCCTTTTGGTTGGGTTTGCAGGGAAACCAGAAAGAAAACCAACCATGTTGGGAGGGCGGGCGATTTTTAGAAATTTAGCGAAATGAAGCTTCTGGGCTCCCTTTCAAGCGAAGGTTAAGCCAAAATTGCCCCCAAGGCTCATCCTTGCTCCCAAAATCGCAGCAACTCTGGAAGATCAATGTCCTCTTTAAGGCATCAAATGTCGGTTGCCATGGCAACGTGTGAGGGAGGCTACCAATCAAGTTCCCTCATGAATCCTTTCTGGGCAAATTCGAGTGATCCGCAAAGGCTTTGGTTTGCGACGAAAATTGTCAAAAAGGGTGATGCTAACATCCAAAATTGGAAATATAGGGAATCCTGTTAGTGGGGGGGGTATCCTTTCATCAACCACTGATCACACCCAACGTTCGGACCCTTTCCTGCCTGGAACATCTGCGCACGAGTGCCGGCAGCATCGCCCCCCATCCTCGGCCCCCATTTCTCTTTGACGTGGGTTGATTCCTTGCTAAAGAGTTAGCTTTCATATGCACATGTAATAACTGTAGTGGGCAATTGGGTGTTGCTCGCCGGTCGGAGCTAGTACCCTTTTTGAGGCGTGGAGGAAAAAACTAAAGGAAACCGAAGCCCCTTGTGGTACCTCGCTCCCGGCGCTTTGGCTCAAGCTACAAAGTGCTAGAGAGCTGCCTCTCTCCCTGGCACTTTGGTCCCCCCAAAGTTATACACCATAAGGAATCCATTTTCGGGGTCCCCGCCATATGTGCCACGGTCATTTCACACCACCGTGACCATTGCCCATAAAGCTGTCATTTTGGAGTCTTAAAGCAGGGAACCCTTCGGTTTCCGTTTGATGTTCATTTAAACCCCCCTCCAAAACATGGGGTGCCCGCGAAAGCATACAAGGAGTTTGACCATGATACATGTGGGTGGAACGGGTCTTAGAACCGATCTAAGAAGCTGGATTCAGGAGATCTACAAGTTGGCAACCTGCTAGAAACCTAGGACTTTGGTGGGTATTTGCCCAACTTCTTGTAGAATTGGGCATGTATCGAAAATGCACAGCGCTTCCGATGGGAAGCCAACGGGAGGACCGAAGCGAACCGAAAGGAACAAAAAACCGCAGACTCATTGTCCGACCAGGAAAAACCACTTCCAGGCCGTTGAGATCTTCGGCTGTCGACCTAAGCCAAGGTCCAAGTGGACAAAATCAATCCCCTGGGAGTCTGGCGTCTACCTTGGACTAGTCAAACAATTTACGTGTGGGTCCAAATTGAACCACCAGGGACAGGTGTTGGTCCTTCTTTCCATTCACCAGGGCTCCTCTTTGAGTATTTTGGACCCACCGCCAAATGGGTAACCCTTACCTCGAAGAGCCCCACCCTGCGCAGCCTCTCGCCCCCCGGTTTTTCCTGGAAACCGACGCCGCTCAGAAGCTCACTCCGTCTGCGGATCATCTTGGGGATAAAACCCGCAGGTCGAACTGCGGATTTTTTTGACGGAGCCTCTGATGGACATGGTGGAAATTTATGTCTGTCAAGTTGGGGGAGTGTTCCGCCACCAAAATTCACTAAGCATCACATGGGCATGGTGGAAATTTATGTCTGCCAAGCATTTGGGAGGGTGTTCCCCCATGTTCCCCCAACTAAAACTCGCTAAGCAGCAAGTGCGAAATGCGAGGCAGCTGCGTCCAATTGGGGAACAGGTGTGAACAGCGTTCTGAACCACAAGGTTGTATACATAAAAGTTGTAAGAAAAATTGACGGGCATGGCACGCCCCAGTGATGATCAGACCCAAAACCTGGTTGATGGTTCACGTGAAAACCCGGCGGAGCCACGCAACAACAAACCAATGATGATAATACTTGGGTGCCATGTAAGATCCCGCTCTTGGGTCGGCTGAGCTTCTTTCAATGGGCTTCCGCCCGACGCGTACCGACGAACCTTCATCTGCCCGGGCTATAGGATCCGCCAGCTCGGAGAACGCAGGGATCCTTCTTTTCAGGAAACCATGAAAACCCAGAGAAACCGCCGGTTTTTGGAAAAAGAACTATGGTTGAATGGGGAATCAACCCAGAAACCCCATGCCAAGTCAAAGTTCATTTCAGTTGGGTGGGCCTGACCTTCGGCTGGGCCCAAGTGATCTCCCCAGCAACACTTCCAGAACCCTTCCGGAATCCTGTCTACGCCCCCAGCCGCTCCGGACCACTCTGGACCCTGCAGCTTTCAGCTGTTGAACAACGAAAAATTGACACAAAACCAAAGCCAAATAAACCACAACCAGCAAACCAACCAAGAACAACAGAGTTAACACCAACCAAAAACCAACCCACCAAAAACACTAAAACTAGCAAACCAACGAAAAGCAACAAAAACGCCGCACTTCTCAAAACAAACGCGGGATTGTTGCTCCTTTTCGCCAGGACGCCACCTCTTGAGCACCATCTGCGTGGCGTGGTGCGCCCGCATCTGGGAGGGTGAAGGGGCTGGACGACTTTGGGGATGACTTTGGTACTGTGCGGAAAAAAGATGGCCCGTTTATGAGCAATTGACCAAGAATGACACTTTTGGGGATGACGCTAAGGGAGAAAACAAAAGAACACCGTCGGAATCCTGGATGGGGTCACGAAAAGTTTGAGAAAACAACCAAGTATGGGTATGTGCTGTTGTTGGGATACACTTTTGAAGGTTGCCTTAAACGGGACATGAAAAGGAAAACCGATGTGTTAAGGGTTTTATTATTAAACAGAGGTTCGTTGGCTTACACAAAACAATTAGACACCTAAGGATCCCCACTGATTTTGGGGGTCCTCAAACTGGTTCCCTTATGGGGTCTGCATTGAAGGGATCATCACCCACATGCAGTACAAAGGTCCGCACAAAGAACGTCAACACCTGGTTTTCACGCCCCTCCCCCAAGGCTTCGGGGCTTATCCTTGGTTGCTCTTGACCCCCCTGCAAAAAGTTCAACTTGTTTGGGGGGGTTAGTGAAAACACCTTTATTTCCCAAAAAGTTAAAGTCTATATAAAGATCCAACCCAATAGCAGTCAAGTATCTCAGCCAAACCCCTTCCCTGGGACAACCCACGCCCCGCCCCGCCTTGACGCACTCCACGGAGTCGTAGGCCTTGGCCAGCGCAGCCTCGTGGGCGTCCTCCGTCTCCTGAGAAGCTCGCTGCCATCGGCAGGGCCCACAGCTCGTTGGGGGGGTGGAGGGAGTTTTGGGACATGTCTTGTTGTTTGTTTCTTTGGGGGGGATGGAAGGGGTTGGGAATGAACCGAGGCCTCCCCAGCAGGATTCCAAAACTTGCAGGTGTTCAGTTCTCAGGGACTCAATGTGAGGGCTTTCGGAATGAACGGGAAGGGCATCCCATAGCAAACAGGGCTCCAACTCATTCCCTGCCCTGAGAATTAGCAAGGAAGCTTTGACTATGGCCATGAGCTTGGAATTTCCAGCCCATCAGTGTCCAACCCCTGAGTCAGGATAGCTGAGTCATGTGCCCGGACTCCAACAAAGGGGGCAGGGGGGAACTGAACCCAGAGATCCCTTGCTCTGCCCCCGGGACAAAACAAGTTAACCTGTTGGGACCTTGACTAAAAATGGACCAAACTGGGGAAAACCAGAAAGTCAAAAGTTGGGCAAGCGAGCACGGAAAGAAAACAACCAGGAAGGCGATCGTGGCATCGGACACGTCTGGTCCTTGAGGAACTTGCCCCACTTGTCGTCCGAGCTGGACTGCCTCGAAAACCCGTGGCTTTGGGTGGCTTGGCGCTTGGGTACCGCGCCAACCCCAACCGAGAACGAGCAAGATGATATGTGTAAAAAAGGAGAGAAAAAAAAGAAGAAGAAAAAGAGAGGAAACAAAAACAAAAAACAACAAGCCAAGCCAAACCAAACAAAGAAAGACATAAACAAATTGACAAATAAAGAAATTAATAGACCACTAATACACAAGCACATAACATTCAAAGAAAATAAACAAATAATAGCCAATGAATAAATGGACGGGGAAGGAAGCAGGCGAAGATGCGGACACATGAACAAAATAATTTGAAAAACAAATTTATTGGGACCAACTGACTGTGAAAAACCGACAAACAAATCCATCAGGGAAAGTCGGTCGAACCAAGCACAGCAGGACCTTGTAGTTGGTCCAAATAGTTCTCTGTGGCCTCCTTTGTGGTTTCTTGAACAAACAAAGCATGGAAACTGCTGTTCTGGTGCCTTCCTAGTGGTGTCTTGTGGAAAAATCAGGATAAAAAAGTGGAAAACTGAAAAACAATTGTATCCTGTCCAAATTCGTTCCTGATGGGTTCGTGATGGATTCCTGATGGTTTGCTGATGGTTTTTTGATGGTTGAGCCTAGGGTTCAACCCCCAACGAAACTGGACGTGGACCTAATTTGCACCTTGAAACTCCTGAACGGACAACAATGGTGGTTGCATTGGTGTCATTCCCGCACCCACCCAGCCATTATCATCCATTTGCTTGAGTCCCCTGCAAAATGCGAAAATATGCCCTGTAGTGACAGATTCCCTTTAAAGCCAACAGGGGAACATGGGAACACAGGAAAAAGTGTCTGAAACGCAGATGGCAGCCATATTTTCACGGCGGCAGGCGTTGTCTTTGCTCCCCCTGCAGCAGTCGGGAGAAAAAGAACTGAGACCAAGCCGCATCTGCTCGAGCTGGCGCACCATGCGCTCGTCCTTGGCAGTGGCGTGCCAGTTCAGCAGCGCCAGCTTCAGGTTCCCGCGCGCCTGCCGGGGAATGCGCGAGCAGGGCGGGGGATTTGCTGTTCTTGCCCCGAGCTTGGACGGGGTGTACTTTCCCACTCATGTGGGAATGTGTGTTTTGGATTTGGTACTTTCGGTTACCACTTTGGTTTACACTTCTGGTGGTTTCAATAAATTTGCCTTTATTATTTCCATGTTTCCCTTTAATTATCGAACAAAAGAACACGTTGTCTTTTTTTAGTCTTATTTCCTTTTGGTGTGATATTGAGGATGAGTTTCGCAGCAGGTCGCAATGGGATGTGAGGTTTGGTGGTCACAATTCTTGGTCTATTGTCAATTTGGGAGGGACGAGAAGGGAAGAGCTCTGAGCTTCTTGCAAAAACAAAGTGGGGGACGAGCCTCAAACTTCCCATGTTTGGGAAACACGTGGCATATGGAAAGGCCCAATAAATAGGTGGTTTCCTTGCGCTCCTCTTCGACCATGTTCCTCCCCCCTCAAAAAGGGCCCAAACAGCTCGAAAACGGACGGAGGCCACGCCCCACCGCTCTCATCCTGTAGGCCTCAGCCCGGCTCACAAGAATTGGTGGACCCGATTGCTGACGACTCCTTGGGTAACCAACGGGGGTTATATGAACCCAACCATCCTTTGAGTGTGCTGAAGGCAATGCGCAAGATCCTTACCTGGTTTGTGGAAGCATCCGGTTGTCCTTCGTTGCTGGTTTCCAACTGTATGGGTTTGTCCTCTTTAGTTTCCTTTTGGTTTCCGTTTACAACAAAAACAAAAAAGAAACGGGCTAGGTGCCCGCATCAAAAAAAGGGGGGGGGGGGGGGGAAAACGAGCCGCCCATCTCAAAAACGCCCTTCCAAAGCTCCAAACCCATCTGATCCCGACAACTCCCGTGGGTCCGTCCTCCCCCGCGAAGGACTTGATCAGCGCCGCATGCACTGCCTGCCGCCGCCGACCCTTGCGCTTGCTCTCGAGGATGTAGCCTCAGCCGAGCATGACCAGCATCATTGACAGACACATGGGGTACACGCAATTACCATGAGGGAATGAGACAAGCCCATTTGAGTCGCAATCAAAACCTGGTATTTGAATGGTCTAGATTGAATCAAAAGAGGCAGATAACCGCCATTGATGGCACTAAGATTTTCCCGTAACCTGCATTTGTCCATTGTGGAAGACCAGTACTTGAGTAAAGGGAGCCCAAAGGAAAACCATCATTGTGGGGATCCCCCTAATCAAGGATTACCCGACCAACTGTGGAACCCTTGGCATGTGAGCCAAGAGCTTTGTGTTTGCAACCACCCACCCAAAAATGAAGAGAACCAAACAACTATATAAATTTAAAAAAGAAATAAAAGAAAAACAAACTGCGGAAGCCAAGAGCCGCAAGAAAAAACACCATGGGTGTCCTCCACAAAAAAAGACCAAAACGAACGAATGTTCATTCTCGGCGCTGCTCCAGGCTCGGGTCACGCCCTTGAGGGTGCCCTTCTTGTCGCCGCCCTCCCAGCGCGCGGCCACGTACTGCACCAGCCTCTCTATGTCTTTGGAGGGGGGGGGGGGGCGGGGGGCCAAGGGCTTTTCAAGAGAGCCAGCTTTCAATTTCCATGGGGTTCATGCATCGAAAATGCACTTTGGCACTTATTCTGTCAAAACCGCGGGGAAGTGCAGAGCAGCCGATGGGAAACCAACGGGAAACAGTGAACCCCACCGGGTCGGTTCGGAAGTAGGGCAGCCGGTCGAAACCGCGGGCTCATTTTCGACAGGGAAGCAACTCCCAGGCCGAAGAGATATTCCGGAGGTCCCAGCCTTCAAGTAGACCTAAACCAGAGGTCCCTTTGCATAAAATCAACCCCTCGGTATCTGCGTCTACCTTGGGGAAGGCAAAAAGAATTGGGGGAACCCTGCTTCCACCTCGAATTGCCCGACCTGGCACAGCTATTTTGAAAGGAATGTGTGCCCATTGACACCCTCTCACCCCTGAACCCCCCAAATCTCCCGAAACGCTCGAAAGCTCACCACAAGGTCGAACAGCAATACTCGATAGACCCTTGACTAACATTCACTAAGCGTCACATGCGAAATGCGAGGCAGCTGCGCCCAATTGGTGAACAGGTGTGAACAGCGTCTTGAACCACAAGGTTGTATACGTAAAAGTTGTACGGACATTTGGCGGGCATGGCACGCCCCCAGTGAGGATCAGACCAAAAGCCTGGTAGATTGTGCATGTGCAAAACCGGCCGGAGCCACGCACAACAAAGCACGGATGATGATTCTTGGGCGCCATGTAAGATCCCGCTCTTGGGTCGGCTGAGTTTCTTTCAATGGACTTCCACCTGCCCGGGCTTTTCTGGTTGAGAATTCCCCCCATCTCCACGTACCAGTCCCGACCGGCGACGTGGGCCTCTGGGCCGCAGCCTTCCGCTCGGCGGCGCTCATGGCGTGCTGCTGCTCCAGAGCCGAGGATCTCCTGTCACGCGAGTTGCTGGAAGCCGCACCTCTGGATTTCACATGGCCCGATTAATCAGGGACTCACATGGCCGTGGCGCAAAATTAAGCAGGGGGGGGGGGGGGGGGGGGGCAAAATGCAGGGGCTTGGTCCATGTCTCCACTTACCAGGCTTCCATTTTGGAATTCCGGTTTTTCAAAGGCACAACCACATGGCTTTTTTGGGATTTACCTGGCTCTTTTGGGGGCTCACGTTCCCTTAAGGCCTTCTTTGGGGCTTGTTTGGGCTCCCTTCCTCGCAACCCCGCCAAAGTGCTTGGAGTCAGCGTTGAGGTTTCCCCTTCCCCAACCCCAAGCTAGAATTGTCCGAAATTTCGTGTGATTCCCTCTACAAGAACCAGAAAGTCAAATCCAAACAAACCACCAACCCAAAGCACCAACGAAGGGATACCTGAAGATGTGTCAAAACCCCCTCACGCAACAAGTATTTCTGCGTGGCTGGGAACCGCCAAGGTTAGGACGTGGAAAAACGCGCTCGTTTCTTCCCATTCCAACAGCTTTGAGTGCAACATGTGTTTAACCAGCCAAACCCGATTCGGCCGTACATTGGTAACCAGGATTTTACCTTCAAATGCAACACAACGCTTTTACTTGGGTGAGATGTCTCTTTTATTTCCCTTGAGTTTCCCTTGGGTTTTCCCTGGGTTTCCCTTTGAACCAACCCCGACAACGGTGACCGTGAAGCAAGACACACGCACATGAGTGGAGCTCACATGGATCCTCTGTCGAGCACGCAAAGCCGGCCATGTTACTTACCCTCCTACCCTGCTGGACATGGAGTCTGCCTATTGGATCAAAACATGAAGCAAACCCCCTCTTCGTATAGGTCCCATTTCTTGCTCCTTTGAAAACCATTTCAAATCAGGCAAACCACAGGAAAACTATCCACCTCTTGCCTCTTGGATCCAAAACATGAAGAACCCCCTCTTGGTATAGGTCGCATTTCCAAATCAGGCAAAACCAATGGAGGGGTCCCCTGTGAACCACAATTTGGGCTTCGGGAATTTCTGGATGCCGCTTTGGACTCTAGTCCTCCTCTCGTCCTCCAGTAGCTTCTCGAGCTGTTGTGCCTCGCAAGCGGATCTGAAGTCCAACAAATCAAAGCCCACATCTTCACCTTTGGGGAAATCGGTTTGCCCAAGAGTAAAAGACCTTCTTTGATGCCCCCAGGAAAGTTGGAGACCTTGCAAAGGAACCTTTGACTGAACGTCCTGCTTGGTTTCGTGGGATGCAAATAAGAGCCGGTTCTGAGGAGCGACGGGAAATTATAGCATGGGTCCTTGGAAGTCGCTTCGGTGAGCCACAAAAAACAGCTGGCAGCTTGCAATGTCCCAGCTTGAACTGGCTTCTGTTGCCAGTCTGATGTCTCAACCCCCAAACAAGCAAGCTAAAAGCCATCGAGAAAAGCCCAAGGAGCATACCCAACCTCTGGAAAAGTCAACCTCTGGTGAGTGGTAGTGTCCTTTTGTTTTCCCTTCGAAACATGCAAGAAGCGCCCCTTGCTTCAAACCTCCCCCTAGCCCGGAGTTCCTGAACCCATCATGTTGCCGTGGAAAAGGTGGACTGGCGATCATGGCAGCCCGCCGACGATGATTCCCACGGGATGAGTTGTGCGAGTTCACTCCAACATGAGGGAACTTACGCACTGGATTAAACCACCGCCAGTTTGGAGTTTGTCCAAAGAATGGCCTCTTTTTGGACATTGAGGTGCCGCACTGACACCTTTTAAAGGAGACAAAAACAACCCGGCGGACCGAAATCCGCGCTCGCGTTTTGCCGAAAACAGTGCATTTCACCTCAGCGAAACGCACATTGAGTCCCCCAAAAACCTCCCAAAAAGAGGGCTCAGCTTTAGAGGCGTTTTGCGTTTCGCTGATGCAAAACGCAAATTGTATCGCCCATTCCCTGCCTTCTCCTTTTTCACATCTTTGCGATCGCTACGACAGTTTGCTGCTCCACATCTCGCTGGCGCAATACATAGCGCCACTGCCAAGACTTTACATACAAGAGGAGATGCGGGCTGCACGAAGGCAGCGAATTTGGGATATGCTTTGCAGTGAGAGCAGAGCCTATCGCGCCAGTGTGGCAGACGACCGTTTCGCGTCCGCCAAAAACATCTTTGGTCAGGCGTGCTATAACGAAGCAGTCGAGCGGGCGCGCTTACCATGGTCAGATGTGCGCGCCGTCTCATAACGCAGCAGTCGAGCGGGCGCAGTGTTAGAATGCAGCAGTCGGGTGGGCGCGCGTACCATGGCCAGGCGTGCGCGCAGTGTTCTAACGCGACAGTCGGGCGGGTATGCTTACCATGGTCAGGCATGCGCGCAGCGCTATAACGCGGCAGTTGGGCGGGCGCTTACCATGGTCAGGCGTGAGCGCAGTGTTAGAAGGCAGCAGTCGGGCGGGTGCGCTTACCATGGTCAGGCGTGCGCACAGTGTTATAACGAAGCAGTCGGGCGGGTGTGCTTACCATGGGTCAGGCGTGCGCGCAGTGTTGTAACGAAGCACTTACCATGGTCAGGCCTGCTATAACGAAGCAGTCGAGCGGGTGCGGTTATCATGGTCAGGCGTGCGCGCCGTGCCAGGGCGAAGCAGTGGTGCGGGCGTGCTATGCAGGGTTGCAGGAAAAAGGTGCACGCGCGTTGAGCGCGGCTTCTGGTCCGCTGGCAAAAACAACAACCCCCCCTTTGCACCACTGAGACCAGATTCATTCCGCTTACCTCGGGGCCGGAAATTGTTCCAGGCATGGACCTAGTTCCTCCGGCTGCCCGGCTTGGGGGTGGATTTTTGAACCAAGCCATCCTTGAGGTTTGGAAACCAAGAACTTCAAGTCAAATTTCAGGAAGACCCAAGATCTTTGTGACCAGTCCAAGTCCCCCCCCCAAACAAAATGGTCCCACTTTCTTACCCACATTCCTTGTCGGCCTGACGTCCATGCCACCCCACCTTCCTATCAACCCCCCAGTTCAGCCCCCACCTCCCAGGAAACCCCTGCAAAGTTCCCCCGATGAGCCACCGACCGGTCGACGTCCAAACCCGAATCTCTTGCCTGCTGGTCGATCACCTTCTGCGCCTGCGAAGCCTAAAAATCGCGGGACACAAAGCTGGCTCGTCCTTGTTTTGGGAAAACCAAAATGCAACCGAAGCCATTTGGGGGAGTTCGATTCCAACAAAAAGACACACCCATTTTTGCTTGACATCCAAGACATGTTGACCAGAACTGTGTTTGCCGCTCCATTACAATCCCAGTTTAACGTGTCGCTCGTTCATGACTTTCAACATTTCATCCGTTCCCCCCAAGCAAAGTTCAACCAGCATCGCCCTCTGGTTGAGTTGCTGAAAAAGTGCAAGCCTTAAGATCCAACCGCAACAACTTTAAATATACTCTATTGGAGCTGATAGAGGCAAGAGGCCAACCTGCTCTGATGGGCTTCGTTCCGCCAGCGCAGCCAAACTCCTCGCCGATGTTCGGCAAAACCGGGCGAAACCGGCGGAGTGAACGGGGACCATCAGCTTCCGTCGACGTCTTGAAAGGGAGAAAACCCAACGTCAACTGGGAAGCCAGGCAACTTGTTGGAGGGTTTGGAAAAAGCTGCTCTGAATTGTGAAGGTGTTCCCGCTATTTGATTGAGAGCTTGCTAATCGGCAAATTCGCCATGAATCCATGACCACTTTGGGGGGCCCAACATGCTCCAGTCTTAAAGCACCCAGGCTTTTGGCGCTCCTTTTCACAATCCTCAAAATTGGGGATAGGGCGTATGCCCGACATGTTGCAAGAAAGGGAAGAAGGGCATCCGCTGATCCTCTAATTTACGTGACTTGCTGTGGTGTTGTGGTTGAGTATGGGTTGGCTTTACAATACTTCGGGCATCCACCGTACCGACCCGAAAGCCCATCATCTCAAAAGCACCACCCCCACCATCACCACGTCCCCACCTCCCCACTCTGCCCCCGAAACCCAGAACTAGTACGCCTGATTTGTTTTGAGCGGGGCAGCTAAGAGGACTTGAATCCCTTCCCTTTTGCGAACCAATACGCATAAACTCCAAGAAACAACCCAATCTCCCACTTGCCCCAGAGAGTTTGGGGGGTCGACCAAAACCACGCGACCTCCACTGGAGGCCTCACCACCCCCCGAGCGCTCCATGGAGGAGGCCCCGGGCATCGCCCTCCGCCCAGCGCCGCAGCTGCAGCTGAATGCCCTCGTGGCGCCGCAACCTTCGGCCCTGCTCCTCGAGAGCTTCGCCGCGGCTGACTCCGATAAACTGACTCCTAAAGCTGACTCCTATCCAATTGCGTCCGTTGCCACCAGACATTGGCTTAAATGCCGAGGTCAAATCCGGATGCGACCATGCGACCTCGGGGTCAGAAAAAAGGGGGGAAAACCGGGGAAAGCGGTGGGCTCCCTTTGCGCAAAGCAGCGCTGGATTTATTCTGGCGATGTACCGTCCCTTCCTGTTTAATGCTACAACTGACTCCTATAAATGCGCCCAATTGCGTCCGCTGTCCCCAGAAATTTGTTTCTATGCCGTAGCTCATACATGCTCAAATCATACAGCTCACAGTTTTCGGTCGATTCAATGCGTGTGTAAAAGCAGCCTCAAGTGAACCTGAAATTCCCAAAGCAATCTTCTTTGGAACCTCCTTTGAGGGCCCTCTTTTTGGGTTCCATGTTAATCTGCAGAGCGCGATACGCAAGCTCGACAGTGCCTCACAGCCTTTTGATCGCAAAGCCTCGGCCTGCCTATCCAAATCGAAAACATCACCAATCTGTTGAAACCTAAAATGGACCTGGACAAGTGATCAACATGGAACTCCAAACACCATGGTTTGTTCAGCATCAGAATTTGGGTTATTCCTTCGGATACTTCCTGCTGGAGAAGACAGGCCTCGCTCGGGGTTGGAGGCAGCCAAAGCGCCTCAAACTCTCTGCCCAAACCTCGCCTTGGCCCACAGAGACCAGTGCTTCCAGCAAAGCTGCTGCGTTCCCTGGCAGCAGTACAAATCGACAAAAACCATGTCGAACTCAAAAGCGCCAACAGGGTTTCTCTAAAGAGCCCGGGTAGAGAAATTCAGTGCATAGGAAAACTCAAGGAAACCAAACCAAGGTACACTTGTGTCTGGGTCTTTCATTCCGAACAAGGGAATACACGGGAATCCTTCCCCTGCCATGTTTTCTGGTACAGGGGCCCGGAATAGACCCGAATGGATCTTATTAGGCAACAGGCGTCAAGAGGCCCCTGGCGGGAGGATTTTTTTTGGGCGCCCTTCACAAGCATAGGAAGGGTTTTTGGCGTTCCTCTCCAATCTATGGAGGGCTGCCAGATCAGCATGTCTTCCCAATGTTGAACGAACCGTGCATCTGCGACCAAGCCCCATGGACGCTTGTTCGCTAACCAAGATGGATCGAAACTCGACATTTTACTGGGCGCGATAATATCCAGGAATGCGAACATTGACAATCAGACAATCTCAAAAACAGAGCTTTAAGGTGTTCTGACCAAGGCAAATGTTTAGAAAACTTGAAAGAAAAGAGGGGAAACCATCTACAAAACCTGGTATCAAAGGAGTCTGCCTAGCAGAATTCAGGACTGCCCCCTACCAACCTTCAACTACCTTGATTTTGATTGTGGCTCATTTGGGCTGGTCTCTATAAATGAGGGGACCCCCCAAAATGATTGGAAAAGGGGCAAAAAGGACACACACACATTTGCACTTCCCCCGAACAGCCCTTACCTTTCAGAAGGTTTGAATGGACCTTATACGGGTCTGTTTCAGAAATACTCACCCCCTTGTTTTTTTCCTTCAAAAGCCACCGAAAAAAGGACACGAGCATCTACATAGGTGGCCTTTTGGAGAAATAGATGGCCCTGGTGAATGGAACAAAAACCCCCTAAACCAGTGCCGTCTATTCTTAACCAAGCTAACCCTACAATATGAAACCAGGTAGGAACCAAACGTTCTACAGACATTTGCTTCTTCGGGATGCGGTTTTGGTTGCTCCCAGGAGACCTTCACCCGCCGAACCTGCGAGCCAAGGAGGGGTGTACTTGTTCTAGGGATCGGACCCCCCAAGTGGGCGGGCTATCCTGTTGGAACCCCTTAAAATCACAAAAAGTTGTATTCTCACCCAAAAAAATACGCGCCCATATGGACATGACCTTTATTTTTCGGGACCCGTAGTTGCGGCTTCGTGACCCGAAATGGTGGGACATGGTGCGATTTCGGCAAAATTGGGGGTGGGGGGGTGGGGGGTTGGTCCCATCTGGTGAGTTTGTAGCAGAGGCACCCCACCGCCCCATCGCACGACCGCGGCCCCGCGGTCCCAGGTCGCTTCCCGCTCCCCGCCTTGGACTTGCCCTTGGCCCAGTTGGCCATGACCGCCTCCACTGAGCTGGTGCGGTCCTTGCGCTGGCCTCGGCTCCGCGCTCCGCGCAGGCGGCACAACACCAGAGGCTTGGCCAAGGCCGCCGAAAAGGAAACCTGGCAAGGCGTAGAGGGCAAAAGGACCAAAAAAGATGTTGAAAGATCGTAAATCAATCTTGTTAAACCCTTTCCCTTTCCAAGGGGACCGGACAACATGTGGCTTTGTTGTTCCAGCAAATCGGTCACCCTTCAAACTGAAAAGGCAGGGGCAGTGCTGAGCCCCACTGTTTCAAGCGTGGACTTTAGGGACCCCAAAACAAGCATGGCGCTGTTGTTTTTTGTTCGAGGAAACCCGGAAAAAAGTGGTTGCCCTTCGGTTTCCCCTTTGGCTTCCCTTTACCTCCAAACAAATACAGACGCACACCACACGGGTATCAAAATCAAACCACCGGGAATTGGATCGCGGGTTTTCGTCCTTTCCATTTGTCAGGGATTCATTTTGGGGTTGCCCTTCCTCCCACTATGCACCTGTGGGAGGGTAATTACCTGGAAGATCAGTTTCCTCTTGGAACTCCCTGTGAGGTGCCATGGCAACGTGGGAGGGAGGGTACCCTTTTACACCAACCTCGGGTCGGCCCGGCGGCTCTCGATCTCGCGGAGCTTGCGAGCGAACTCCGCGTCCTTGGCAGCCTGGCGGATCCCCTTCTCTTGGCCGCCGAAGGTGCGCCATTTTGGGGAACCGCTGTTTGGGCTGGTTTAAAAGGAAACCTGAACAGGCAAAACAATGGTGGTTCTATCAACCCCCTTGTTTTAATGATTGGAATCTCAGGGTATGTACCCTTTACCAAGACCAGGTCCAAACCGTTCCAAACGTGTTTTCAACTAGAATGGTCTTCCCAAATGAGATGGAAAACGAAAAGACTCCACAGCAAAGAGCGATATATTCCAAAACAAGACGATTCCTCTTAAGAAAAAGAGTGCAGGTCATCGTCAGGCTCCATGTCTGCGTAATATATATATATAATATATATATATATATGTATAGAGACATAGATTATATACATAAGCGATGCTTCGGCCTGATCCTTGTCGTAGGCGCCCTTTAGCTTCTGCATCTCCTCCTCCTTCCTTCGCACCTTCCGGGTGCGCGGCAGCCAGAAGAATATGTACGGATAACCCTGCAGATATGTCACCTTTCTAATGGCGATGCCGACCTGTACAAACATAAAAACATACAAATGTATCCGGTGGCATACCCCATGTTCCATTTTACACAACCCTTCTGCATCATGGTTGTGCGAGCCAGGGTCAATCATACTATGGGGTTATTTTCAGGACATGATGTCCCTCCCAATGAAACATGGACCACTATTTATTTTCACCGAGCCACATGTGGTGGTGATGTAGCCTGTTTCAGTCCGCCCTCCACCGCCCCCCAAAAAATGGTAAAAAGGGGGGGCCCGGGGGGTGGCCTGTTGATGGTTGCCTGTTCTGGTTTTTATGTTCATCTCAAATCTGTGTTCCCCCTTATTCGTTTTGAAAAGGGTGTTTTCGGGGAGCTTATTTATCGTTTTCGTTAAGGTAATCATTTGGGTAAATTGTCGCCTTGTTCATTGTTGGGCTGGGGGCCGACATTTTTTTCATTTGAAAGAGGTAGCCCTTTTAGTAGTTATCAAGTTCTAGTTATCAAGTTCTGGGGTGTTGGTGGTGTATTTGTTTTGTTAGTGTTTTTCTCACTAATTTTCATTTATAGGTTAAAAGTTCAGTATAATTATAACATATAAGATTTTACATGTTATTATTATATTATGATTATAATTTCAGTTCAGGATAATAATCTAATTGGTTTGTCTTACTTCTTTCATACATCATTTTAAAAATAATATTAACATCTCTCACTGTATTCTGAACATTAAACTTTTTACTTTCAATAAATAATTTGATATGGTCTTTAACATCTTCTCCTTTCTCTTGACTATAACCCAACATCCATAATATATCATCAATCATTTCATACTTTCTCTTACTGATTTTAAGAAACTGTTTAACACAATCGTAAGGTGGTATTTTATTTACAGTTAGAAATATTAAAATATCATCTTCTACATTTCTATTATGTATTCTTTTTATTCCCAACAGACATTTGATTAAAAATTGATTATCTCTCCAAGTTTTACAATTTTTACATATGTCTTCTTCACCATCCATTGAATAATTAATAATATTATTCACTATTTCATTAGGTAAACTCAATTTATACAATTCCATATTTTCTTTTTTGAAGTGACAACAATCATAGCATTTTTTATCGATATAATTATTGATTCCATCACCGTTCATTTTTCTCTTAATATATAAGGTAATATTTCTTTAAGTAGTTTTGGCTAGGGGTTGCTGGTCGGTTGGTCTGGGTTTCAGGTTTAATTTAAATGTCTTAACCTTCTTGTTAGATTATAAAACAATGTTTAATCATATTATAATTAAATATTATGATAAAGCCATGAAATCATTGTTTCTGTTATGTATAAATTTCAAATGTAATATGTTCTATAGTAATGATTTCGTTTCGTTTCATAGTCTGCTTTATTTCTTCAACTATTTTTTCAATATGAAATTGTAATGACGCTCTACTTGTTATCTTGTTCTGTTTGCTTGATGCATAATAACTACAGTTGCAAATATTATTCTTATACATAATTTTCGAACTAATTTCTATTCCAACCTTTATTTCTTCATCATACTTCACCATTCTTAATAATTCTTTTGGTGGTTTCAACGCATATGAAAGTGCTTTATCACCTTTCAAACATATATTGCTAATCAACACATAATATCTACTTTCTCCTTCTCGTTCAAAAATAGACGGTTTCCATTTCCTTTGTAAGACCCTTAATGCTTTACACTGTTTTAGTCTTTGCCACCCTTCATTGCCATTCATATAAGAAGCGATGTTTAACAATGCTTCCATAGGTAAGCTAGCACAATTCTCAACCATAAAATTATTCTCTGACATTTTACCCTCACTCATTTTTTCTCTTTATATATAAGGTTTTTTCTCTTTAAGTAGTTTTGGCTAGGGGTTGCTGGTCGGCTGGTCTGGGTTTCAGGTTTAATTTAAATGTCTTAACCTTCTTGTTAGATTATAAAACAATGTTTAATCATATTATAATTAAATATTATGATAAAGCCATGAAATCATTGTTTCTGTTATGTATAAATTTCAAATGTAATATGTTCTATAGTAATGATTTCGTTTCGTTTCATAGTCTGCTTTATTTCTTCAACTAGTTTTTCAATATGAAATTGTAATGACGCTCTACTTGTTATCTTGTTCTGTTTGCTTGATGCATAATAACTACAGTTGCAAATATTATTCTTATACATAATTTTCGAACTAATTTCTATTCCAACCTTTATTTCTTCATCATACTTCACCATTCTTAATAATTCTTTTGGTGGTTTCAACGCATATGAAAGTGCTTTATCACCTTTCAAACATATATTGCTAATCAACACATAATATCTACTTTCTCCTTCTCGTTCAAAAATAGACGGTTTCCATTTCCTTTGTAAGACCCTTAATGCTTTACACTGTTTTAGTCTTTGCCACCCTTCATTGCCAAACATATAAGAAGCGATGTTTAACAATGCTTCCATAGGTAAGCTAGCACAATTCTCAACCATAAAATTATTCTCTGACATTTTACCCTCACTCATTTTTTCTCTTTATATATAAGGTTTTTTCTCTTTAAGTAGTTTTGGCTAGGGGTTGCTGGTCGGCTGGTCTGGGTTTCAGGTTTAATTTAAATGTCTTAACCTTCTTGTTAGATTATAAAACAATGTTTAATCATATTATAAGATAATAATATTAATAAACAAAAGTTAATTTTACCCGTATTCAATCTCACCAGCGATACAACCACTATAACAACTCATACTATACTCGCAATAATAATGCTCGTATCCTTTTATTAATTGGTCTGTGTAAATTTCAATTAATTCGCTAAGAATATATCTCATACAATAATTGTTATTTCTATATGACCACCAACTGTTTAGGTTTGGAAAGCTAAACCCACAACGTTTATTTTTTTTAAAGCTTCAATGTCAAGACATTTTCTTAAAATGATACAAACTTCATTTTCATTATTCTTACAGTATGATTTTAATGCTTGATAATACATTTTTCTATTTTTAAACCGTTCTTTAACTTCTTGTATGTCAAATACTCGGTCAATGTGTTTTCTGTAATGTCTTATTTTTATACTATATTGGTTTTCTGCTAGTAGTGTAAAAACATTATTTTGCATTAGTTTAATAACTTGTAATTGAAGTTCTGCTTTTTCCAGTCCTTCTTCAGGAATGTCTTTATCTCTCATAAAATGTTCTTCTTCACCCATCAAATACCAGCAATCAAAACATGTTACTCTAACATAACCACCTATAAGATTACAAACATCAACAGGTAAAATATTAGCTAGTGCTACGACAGACTTACATTTTTTTATTTTTACAAGGACAATTATCATAATTAAATAGTGACATGTTTTTCTCTTACTATATATATCCATTTGTCTTTAAGTAGTTTTTTATTCTATGTTGAGGGGCGGGGTTTATATTGAAAAAAATATTTTCTAACAGTTTAATATAAACACTAGGTTTAATCATATTATAATTGAATAATATCATTAAACTAAATCACTCACGCTTTCCATCCACCTATTCCATCCCACCAGAATTCAATAATTCGCATCTGACCATCTACTAGACTGTCTTCTGTGTTTAGTTTCCGTATCGCTCCTGATAAGATATAGTGATTAATAATCATAGCATTAAACTGTCCATCTCGGTTTAACTTTTTACCACAGTCTTTTATGATGTCTTCATCTGTTAGGTTTTCATACATTTCTTTCATGATGTCAAACCTAACAAATGAGTATATCGCCATCAAGTTTAATCCGCTATTATCCCTAAACCTGCTAATGACATCTTTCCAGAATTCTTCGTTTTCATCAACTGGTGGCAAAGGGTGTCTTTTGATGAAATGCTTTATTTTGTTTAACTCTTCATCTAATTCCTTTTTATAACTGTCATTATCATCATCTTCTTCGTCTGATAGCGTCCAGTTTGATAAGTCATCAATCACTCCGACATTTTCTAAATTCAAGTCCTCTAATCTTATTTCAGCCATAATTTTCACTTAATATAATAAGTTAATATTTCTTTAAGTAGTTTTTTATTTTATGTTAAGGGGTGGGGCTTTATATTGAAAAAATATTTTCTAACAATTTAATATAATGGCGAGATTAACAAAAGACCAAATAATCAGCAACATCTATTACGACTTAGACGAGGGTTTCGGAAGCACACAAGCGACACACAAGAAGGCAAAGGAAGAAGACCCAACAATAACATTAGACGATGTAAAGTCTTTCTTAAAGAAACAACCAAATAAACAAATCAAAAATTATAGAGGTACTAATTCCTATACCGCTCCATTCGCACGATATGAATATCAAATAGACATAATGCATATGTCACCTTTAGCAAAAGACAAGAACGTTCCACAGTATGCTTTAGTCGTGATTGACATCTTCAGTAAATTAGCAGATGTAATACCGATGGAGGAAAGAGACGGAGAGCACGTTTTGAAGGCGTTGAGAGCAAGCTTTAAAAAGATGGGTTATCCGATGTCCGTGTATTCTGATGACGACGGAGCGTTTGCAACTAAAAATCAAGTTCAGGATTTCTTCAACAGTGAAGGAATAAACCACATCGTCACGAAGACCCACGCAAATGTGGCCGAGCGTTTTATTAGAACGATGAAAAACAAAATTCACGATAGAGTTAGGTTTAACAACATGAAATGGACCGACGCCCTAACGCAAGCATTGAAACAGTATAACAGCACATCTCACTCATCAACAAGGATGGCACCGTCTGAAGCACACAAGGACGACAATGAAATAAATGTAAAGGTCAATCTTAAACTACGAGAAAAAAACAAAAGAAAGTATCCCAAAATAGAGGAGAACGACAAGGTAAAAGTGTTCCAAAAGAAAAGGGGTAATTACACCGACAGAAAGGAGTATAACTCTAAATGGTCTAATAAAATATTCAATATTGATAAAATTGA